ATTAATTGCTTGCCCTTTGTGGCTTGTTGTATTCATATTAATTAATGATTATATACTGGTATATGTTGTAATCCACATGCCTATTACTCGGGTACAACTGAAATCTGACCTAGCTGTAATGCATGGATTACTCTACTGAACTGCTATATAAATAATGAGTATTCTTTATTTCCAAAAAAAAAGTTTAGGGTTCTTTTAACACCGTTCATGGGCGTCATTATTTGACACCAGTGACATTTCAAAGTCGTGCGTTGTTCCGTTTGATTTGAAAGTGATTCCTATCCTTTCAAATCCCTCCCCCTGGTTTGCCCGTATGAAGGGGGGGGGGTGGAGAGTTGGGGTTGTGGTTCGTCGTTTTGCTACAATAATAATGGAAGGGGGTTGGGCGTTTTGAAAGGGAGCTAGGTCGTAAGAACTTTTTCAAGATTGCGTGAAATGTTGTGAGAACATCAAATGGTTTGATGTTATGTTATGATTTTAGTCTAAAAACCCCTATTTTCAAAGAAATGGTTACCACTTACCCATAAAGAGGTTTGGGAGGTTTTAGGGCTTCAAATAGACGGGTGTCACATAACCGGAGTCAATGCTACTTGAACCCCCGATTATTGTGTGTCGATTACAGTATTTTTGGAACATGTCAATTATTCAAAGAAAGCTGACAAAATGGGAGTGGATATTGTTTCTCTGTAGACTTTTAATTGTAATTCTCAACTGTGATTTTATAAGTAACTTTGAGTGACATTAAATAGATGTGAAATAAACCAAACTTTTATGTAGTCTTTGGGTCTACACTCATTTTATAGACTTTAGCATATAATTACAATAAAAGAATTGGGCTTTTTATAGAAGGAAAAAATTGTATTTGTACGCTCATGAAGAGTGTAAGAAAGTCCACATTTTTTGTGTAGAGTTTAGGATCACAGAAGCACAAATCGAAATCTAAATGTGTTTAAAACTAACAATAATATTATCAGATCAAATTATGCTTCTGTATTTCATGTCAAATATCTTGGAAACACCTTTATCTTTCAGTTAAGATTAGAATAAAATTTGAATGTACCCTCTCTATTTAGATTTTATTTTGTAAAATAAAATTTGAAACCCTCTCTATTTAGATTTTATTGTATTTATATATGAAAATGCGACACCTATCTCTAGGAAGTCTACACATGGCTGCTTGTGTGATATTTTTTTAACCCCTAACTTATGAAATGGAGTAAGAAAGTTAATAGTTTGATATGAAAATGAAAAAAATTAATTATGGAAGAAATACTTTATTTTTCATGATAATATTATTTCCTAGTTTTATTTTTGTTTCTCTTCATTTATAAAAAAATTTTCAAATAAAAAATATAAATATAATACTCACTATCAATAAATAAATTACAAATTTAATTTTTATTAGACATATAAATTAAAATGTTAGTTTTGATTCTATTTATCTATTACTAACATAAACTTAAAACCAGAAATAATATTTTAAAAACTACAATGAAATTATACTCCCTTCATTTCATATATATTTTTTAACACTTTCTTAAGAAATGGTAACATAATTTATGTCTACATTCATCTATTTTTCAATATATCAATAAAGTACTCATAGGCAATTATTATGGAATGAATGGAATATAAAACAAGAGCTGACTATACTATAAAGTGTTCAAATAGAAAAAAATAATAGACATAATTTGGTAGTTTGAGTACATTTATTTTTTGATTTGATATAATTACTCCCTCTCTCCCGATTTAAATTGTGTGTTTTGATTTATGGTATTTGACTAAAGTTATTTTCAATATAATTTATTAGAGAATTATAGCAGAATTAAAAAATAAACATGTCATACTAGTATAATTTATAGTTTATGTTTATTATCTGATTTATAAATTGATTTAAAAATACTCGAAGTATTATTTCTAATTCTTTGGAGAATATGTACAAATGATTCAAGGTGCACAAGGGAATAAGATCAAAAACAAATATAATTTCCCATTTGCAACTCTTTATATTTTGATAAAACATTTTGTATTGGCCTTAATACTTTTATGGACTTGAATAATTTTGTATGTATAAAGAAAACAAAAAATTGAATAAATACTACTCCCTCCGTCCCGTAGTATTCGTCCAGTTTTGACTTTTGGAACTGTTCTTTTAAGCACTTTGACTCATCAAATTCTTTCAATGTGCAAGTCTAAATATAGTCATGTGTGATCTTGTTTGATTTGTCTTAACATATAGATTATTATTATATAATTTCTATAATTTTTTAATATACAAATTACATGATAAAATGGATTAAAAAAGTGAATTGGATGGTGTGTAAAAATGAAAGTGGACAAATACTCTGGGACGGAGGTAGTATCAAATATTTTCGTAAATTTTCTCTTAGGATCATATGACCATTAATATTTTTATTGTATTAACATTTTTTGAATTAATGCGAGAAGATTCATTGATTTTTTTGAAATACCAGACGAGATGATATGTCACCCAAATAACCAAGAAAAAATTAAAGCAAGACACTCGATGGACTACACACAATGTTGTGATGTAGTAAGACACAAATATTTGTGCAACTCAGAGCAAATTCCCCTACTTTGCGAGACCCACATCTCTGTAACAATCTATCATTAAACTTTATTATTATAATAATTAATATTCGTCTGAATCATTAACTAATTCTCATAGTGCCTAAATTTGGAACATTACATCAATAACTGTGAGACTCGGCCGATTAACATATACTAGTCTCAAGTGTGTTGCTGGTTCTGTTGCCCCCGGATAATGGTGCCACTAGCTTTTTAAAACACATATGGTGCTTTGTTTGCAAAATTGATGATTCTTACCTTACCTCCACCCCGTCCAAATGTGTGGTCATTAAGCAAGACACCATGAGTAAGGCATGAACCGTTAGGGATGCAAGTTTGTCCCAATGGTGAAGGCCAAGAAGAATTAAAACATTCTTTTATCACTTATCGCTTATCATTTATCAATGCATTGCACGGTAATTGCTTCATTTCAAAGTCTCAAGGCACTTCGAGTAAACATCTAAATAAAATTTCAAATATAACACACAAATTAATAAGTACTTCCTCCGTCTCTATAAGATTACAACAGTTTGACTTTTTTAATCAAGATATGACATTCTTTGATCATGAATTGACAATAATTTAAAATAATTAAATATTATAAAAAATTAATATTTTAAAACTGTATTTTGAATAAACTCAAATTTACTAAATTTATAACATAACTAAATATATTTTTTCCATAATTTACGGTAAAAAATACAACAATTGACCAAAAAATCAAATTATTATAATCTTTTAAAAACGAAGAAAGCATATTAATATAAGTATATAAATATTTGTTGGCATGAGGAAAACAATGTGTGTTTGTTGGCATGAGGAAAAAATGCATCAAAAAACATGCATGTAGTATATTTTTTATTTGGTAGTACATTTGATACCCCATATATACTACTGAGTAATAAACTCCAAAATAGTGTGCACTTCCTAACCCAATTAAACAAAATGATATGTCAACCATATGAAAATGCTTGTTTAGTGGTAAACATTTATAAAGGTCCATCATAAAACTTAAATCTATGCAAGGTTAATCTTGTGAAATTAAAAAAACAATTATTTGAGAACTTCATGTTTATCATTTGAAAATCATTTGTAACATCTATTTCGGATGTGTTTTATAACATCTAGTTAAAGTCACTTAATTGCAGAAGATTTCATCAATGATAAACAGTCAAATGCAACTACGTCCTATAACATTTCATAAATTTAAAAATTTATAATATGGAGTAACATACACATGGAGTCTTCCAATAAGGACTCCCTACTTAAAATAAAATAAAATGATCCAAGGAAGAAAGCTAACCTCTTCAGCCCCTAATGAAAAGGAAGCTGAAGGCAACTCGTTTTGCAAATTTGGAAGTTAACCTTATGGAATGAATAAATCAATTATTTCATCACATTGGGCAATCAACAATATCTTCTCAATCCTAAGGTGTCTATCTTGTGGATGGTTTGAGCCATTCCTAGTCAACATCCAACAAATCCACTACAACTTGTGACCCAGTCAAGAGATGAAAAACATAACATGTACATAGTACTACATAGTTCATGGGATAAAAGATAAACTATAAAATAATTGAAACGATGACAAATGAAATATTGAAACTCACTGAATACGATACAAAATCTTCAAAAATCATGACAACATTAAATGCAATAGCAAGCCATAATGAAGCCAACAATATTGCCAACATGACCTACATTCATTAGGTAAATTAAAGATTAGAAAAATGCAAAACTATGCTTGAACATTCATTTAATATACATAGGGAAGGTATTTCTTTCTACCTCAGGTCCTCAAGCAATATGAAGCCAAATCTATTGACAACTAAGCAATAATAAAAGGTTACTCTTTTTGTCGGAGGCTCGAAATAATAGATAAAAATCAATATTAAATAAACACAGCAAAATCTCAACTAATAAGAAAATGCTCAAACTCCAAATCCATTGACACCTAAGCAAAAATAATAAACAGACTAAACACCAAGACAAAGACAATTAGCTTCATGAAATTTACTAAAAAATATACATGCACACAAACAACACAATCGAGGAGCTAAAGCACATCAAAAGATCGTAACACCTGCAAATTTTGTTTGCAATTTATTCAGAATCCAATGTAGAAAAGAAACTTATGTTGAAACTCTGGCTCCCTTCATTTAGTTTATTTGTAATTAGACTTTTCAGAGCTTATATAAGTGAACAAAAACATAAAAGAAATAAGAAAAATAAGACAAAATACTAACTCTTTGGTCAGATATTTTTTTTTGGCTTTAATGCATGAGTAAAGGTCAAGATAAAAATATGATGTATTTCCAGTGAAGGTCATCTCACAACAAAATGCAATATTTGTAATCGGCATATGAATATTTTTGTTAAACACTTGATAATAGAGGATGAATTAACTTAATGAATGTACAAAGAGCTCTTCATATCTCTTTCAAAAAGAAAAGGAAACATCTTATACGGTCAATACAATTTTTGTAGCAATCAATCCCGTCTTTATTTGAAGAAAGACCATTTAAAAATGACCTAAGTAAAAAAATAATCAACAAAATGTTGGCCATGTGTGCAGCAATTGTCCCGTGGCGGAGGCTATGTGGGCCAAGTCACAATCGAATGTCGTGGGCGCTTGTGTGATGAATACACTATAAGGCTAGGGTATGCGCCTCTTCTAACACCAATTGATTTTAGAAGGGTTGGTAGCGCCTGAGGTCCTACAAGTGGTATCAAAGCCAAGGTCACGAGCAGCGGAGCAATTGCTGAGGGGGAGATTGTTGGCCATGTGTGCAGCAATTGTCCCGTGGCGGAGGCTATGTGGGCCAAGTTACAATCAAATGTCGTGGGCACTTGTGTGATGAATACACTATAAAGCTAGGGTATGCGTCTCTTCTAACACCAATTGGTTTTAGAAGAGTTGGTAGCGCCTGAGGTCCTACACAAAAAAGAATTAAATATCTCAAATGTAAATGTCAAAAGAATTCAATAACGTCTAAAGCATTTTTTCTAGTCACTATTTGATATATTTCAAAAGTGTGAGCGCACACCTTTTATACCTATTGTGTACATGAGTTTACGAATGGGGAAGACATTGCATTATGGAAAATTTAAACAATTTGACACAAAATTGAACCTAAATTTATCTAGCATATATTACCTCCGTCCTAAAGTATTTGTGTAGTTTTGACTTTTTTCAGTTAACCGTTTTCAACATTTGAACTATAATTAAATAAAATATATATTGTATATTAATTAGGTAAAAGAATATTTTGAAAATATTTTATATAATAAATTTAATAAAACTATTTTTGTATAGTTTACCAATTTTGACCAAAAAAAGTCAAAAGTAGACAAATACTCTGGGACGGAGGGAGTAGTTCAAAAATTCAAAAGAGAGAGTAAAAGAAATATTTTACCTTAGGATAATATTAGGATTAAATGAAGGGGCAGTTATGAGCCTTAGCCTTCAAGTGAATCTGGGAAAAAAATGAATTCATAATCAACAATTGTTTGAGAACCCAGATTTATTAAAAATTGATTTAGAATGAATTCTAGAAGAAGATAAGGTATACCACTTAAAGCAATATGGGAAAAAGAGACAACGCATGTCTAAATAAGTTCAAAATGTTTTTATAGCAAAATAATCATCTTTTCTACCTTATTAAAAAGATGTATTACATGGAGTTGCAGCAGGCACTGATGTATTTCATTCTTCTTCATTCACTTGGCACTGGGAGGTTTCACCCTTACCTTTCTTCTTGAGAGAACCGAAAGACATGTAACTGATCATAAACCAAGTAGCAATACATGTTGTGATGGGACAAAGATAAACCTTAAATCACTTATTTACATGAAAGATATATTGCCCTCAAATTTGAAGGCACACACACACACATATATAGTGTATGTAAATTTGACATAAATAAAACTTAAAATACCTCATTACCTCTCACAACCAACGTTATTGTTCTCGTGGTTTGATGTCTGTATCACGTTAAGAAGCAATCACCAATATGAATCCCATCAAGAGCCTCCACAATACCTCCTCCAAGAATCCATCCATAGCCATTCGTTCCCTATATCAAGCCTGCAATGTGTGTGAAATAGTGGGAGGCTCGGGACTAAATGATGTGCGAAGAACTACAAACCTAACCCACAATCGCCTAGTTGTTATACAAACCTAACCCACATTAGTTAACCAACTGTTGAAGAACATCTTGGTGCCACATTTTAGAATCATAACTACGTCTTTTACAAATTTATTAAAGTGCCACCACAAAGGGATGATAACTTCTTAGGCTAGCTTTGTACCTGGCCTTGAATTGCATTGACCAATCTTTGAATGATGCATCTAGTGGCTTCACATTTGGGGTAATAAACACTTTATGATCCTACAGGGAGTGATAAAAGCTTTAGAGAAAACATTACACTTGACTATACGATATAATGGTCAATTGGTCTTAAGTCTAAACCCAACTTTAAGACTTACGTGTTGTAATATTATCATACCTTAGGTTATCAAATCATTTACCCATAGCATATTCAGACATCACAAAGCTTTAAAAATGATTTGTCCTAATTTATTGGTTGTTTGAGAAGTCCAAAATTAAAAATGAATTCAAAAGAAGAAAATACCACTTTAAAATGGTGGTGGTGTTTTTGAAGTGTGACGTTATTGACCTGCAGCAAGAATCCAAAGGGAGAGACATTATCCTTGCATAAAAAAAAAGAGGAAGATAATGCAAGATCATGCCATACATATTCAGAAATTTCAAAAGAAAAAAGAAAAGTTGTTACTGATGCGTCTAGTCCGTAGTTGTTGTCTGATTTTTTAAGATATTTTTTTAGGATTAAAAGATATTAAGGCATGAAACAGCTTGAAGAGACAAGCTCTTCTTCTTTAAGCTCTGATAGTTTTTTTGTGCAGATTAAAATCTAAATGAAAAGAAGATAGACTTGAAACCTTGATAATTAACGCAAAAAGAAGAAATTGATGTTGAAATTTGCATGTACCATAGCCACTAGGAAGATGATGAATAGTTAATTGAATTGCGAGCACGACATATCTCGAGAAAGATGCAGCCCTGACCTGGAAAATGTCAGCAATAATATCCATTGGTTTCCACCAAAAAACCAACGGCCTTCTAGCCTTCAATCGCAGTGCTATGGAAGAGGCTAAACTTTGAAGACGCTGAGATGCAATGGTCTTAGAAAGTGAGCAGTTGAAAAAATACGGAGTACGCCATAATGAAAGATCAGTGGTTAGTGGGCGATCGAGGGAAACAAAAAATGAACTTCTGAGTTTAGTGTGTTGTTATAGTTCTATCTACCGCTCGTGCCCAAATCCTTACAGGCCCGTCATTATCACTTGCCAATGAGCACGGTACCTTGGGTTTCAACTCACACTGCTCACCTCATTGGATTTCTTATATTATTTGTCATTGATGTTGCCACTTACAATGAACCATGACGATATACTACGAAAGCACAGACCAGTGACTCTTGGACTATCAATACATGTATAACGTTATCCCTCCCTAACTTCAGATTTCAAAACCACCAACTCTTCATTATTCAAATTTACTATCACATGCCCCCTTATATCAGAGAAACAAATAGATCAAAGAATATGTTTTCCTTTCACAACAAACTACTTATAACCAATCTTTAGAGTTTTGATTATTCAAATCTCACATCAAGATTAAATTTTGTTTAAAACCACAAACTAGATGTCTCCCTTCAATAGTAATGACGATCATCCTTAGCATTTCCCACTCATATCTCTACCAATGCATCATAATTATACTCTATCGTAATAGCATACATCATCTATGCTAGCAACGAACATGGATTTTCTGATTGGCTTCCAACATCCCAAATAGAAGAAAGGAGAGTGCTTTCACAGGTTGACAATACACAATCAGTAAAAAGAAAAGTATATCGAAAAGATTTTAGTTTAGCTTGACTCTTATTAGAAAGGATTTTAAAAGTTTATGAGTGGAAAAACACAAATCTAGTTATTAGGTCACACCTCTGTTGAAATTGGATAATAGACATCTTAAGAAAGATGAGATGAAGAGGAAAAAGGAAGAGGTTTTGATAGAATTGAAGCAAGTGTTGCTGATACCAAAGAACATGCTTCTCACACTTCTTGAAAGAATGTCATGCATTAACAAAGATCTTGTCTCCTTCACAATCTGGTGTAGGGTCTAATTTGATGTGAATAATATATTAAATTATTTAATTAATTATTTATTCAAATATACCACTCGTATCACCAATCTCTGAGTTACTCCAATCCCACATCAAGATTAAATTTTGTTCAAAACCACACATAACATCTCCATTTAACCCTAATGATAATCCCCTTCGGTATTCCCCTTTGTTTCTCTTCCAATGCCTCATCATTCCATCGTAATAGTATACGTCATCTATGCTAGCAAAGAACAAAACTTTTTCATTCGACTTCCAACATCTTAAATAGAGGAAGGATGTGTGCTTTGACAGGGTGGCAACACACTCTCGGCGATGCTCTAAGGTGAAAACACATAACCTCTTTCATGCTCTCTTAGTACTTGTAATCGTTTACAATCTTCATCTGCAATTACAAGTCCTAAGAGGGCATGAAAAGGATGTGGTTTTTGTGTCTTAGAGCAACAACCATTAATTAATCATAAATTACTAGCCATGTTTGGTGATTATGAAGTGGCAGAGTGTGAAGTTTCTATTTAGGTGTGTATTGCCACTCTATCAAAGTGCATTCTTCTCCCCCATTTGGGATGTTGGAAGGCAAACGAAGAAATTTTGTTCTTTAATAGCATAGACAACGTATACTATTACAATGAAAGAGATGGAATGCCAAAACATTGGAAAAAAAATGAGTACTGAAGGAGATTGTCATTAAGGTTAAAAGAAAATGTTATATGTGATTCTGAAAAAAATTTAATCTTGATGTGGGATAGGAGTAACTCAAAGCTTAGGATACGTGTAGTATATTTGAATAACTAATTAGTTAAACAATTTAATATATCATTTGTATTAAATTAGATCCTCAGGAGACAAGATCTATGCTCAAGCATGACATTCTTTCAAAGAAGTCTGAGAAACATGTTCACTAGTATCAACAACACTTTCTTCAATTTTGTCAAAACCTTCTCCTTGATCCTCTTCATCTCATCTTTCATAAAATGTCTATTCTCCAATTTTAACAGAAGAGTGACCAATTAACTACATTTAGGTTTTTTCCACTCCCAAACTTCTAAAATTCTTTCTCAAAAGAACTAAACTACACCAAAATTTTTCCGATATACATATTCTTTCACTGAGTGTGTGATGTCACTCTCTGAAAGTACACTCAATTCTTTCATTTGCGATGTTAGAAGTCTATCAAAAAGTTCATATTCTTTGCTAGTATAGATGATGTATAGTATTACGATAGAATATAAAGGTGATCGTCATTACTATCGAAGAGAGACATCCACTATGTGGTTTTAAAAAAAATTTAATCTTAATGTTAAATTTGATAAATCTAAACTCTAAAGATTAAAAAAACTCTAAAGATTGGTTACAAATAGTTTGTTAGTAAAAGAAAACCATATTATTTACTCTATTTATTTGTCAGATATAAGTAGGCATTTGATAGTAAATTTGAAAAATTAAAAGTTGGTAGTTTTGGATATCTAAAGTGAGGGAGGATAACGTTATACTGACAATCCAAGAGTCACTAATTCGTGCTTTGGAAGTATATCATTATAGTTAACTGTAAGTGACAACATCAATGGTAAATAATATAAGGAATACAATGAGTTGAGCAGTGTGAGTTGAAACCCAAGATGTCGTGCTTGGATGGTATATCATAATGGGTCATTGTAAAATCCACTTCCAAACTTCTATAATCTTTTATAATAAGAGTCAAGCTACACCAAAATCTTTTCGACATACATGTTCTTTCATTGAGTCAAAGATTGCAGACATTTATATACCTTTGCATTTTTGTTCCTATTTTTTCAGTTAAAACCCGCATCTCCAATAAAATTATGTTAACTATGAGACAAGTGATACTTCTAAAACTTTTGATATCCTTCCTATCTTCACTTTTTCTCTTTCTCATCATCCATTGGGGTCTATTAGGAACCCATGTAATGCTAGAGAAGAGAAAAATGAAGGCAAACTAGAAGATAACCGCAGAGAAGAGGAATTAGACAATATATTTATAATTGGGAGTTTGACTTGCAAATATTAAACATAAATTACGGAGCCTGAACATTGGATAATACAAACTCCGTACCGCTATATTCGTCCACTTTTGACTTTTGGAACTGTTCATCTAAACACTTTGACTCATCAAATTTTCTCAATGTGTAAGCTTAAATATAGTCATGTGTGATCTTGTTTGATTTGTCTTAACATATAGATTATTAATATATAATTTCTATAATTTTTTAATATACAAATTACAAGATAAAATGGATTTAAAAGGTGTATTGGATGGTGTGTAAAAAAGAAAGTGGACAAATATAGTGGGACGGAGGGAGTAAGATTATGAAAATAGAAATTTTTAAAAAATGAAAATCATAATTCAATAAGAAAAAAGTAAAGAAAAACCTTCTGCAATTGATACAACTTGAAAACCTCCTTTGGCACTTCATACAAACTGAAAACTTTCAGCACTTGATACAATCTGAAACTTGTGGGACTTGTTGCCGATGATGATGGTGAAATTACAGTAGTTAGTCCGGAAAGTGAAATTCCGGACAGGGCTTACCCCATTCCGATAAGATTTGGATAAAAATTAGGGTTTAAAATCTTAACTAAGTGTAAAAGAAACCTGATAAGAGCGACCACCGGTATTTTGACGGCAGAATCGGATTGGATAGAGTGGTGGGTGCCGACAGTGTCAATTGACTCTGTCATCGACAATCGCAGACTCAAACTGGAAATCTAGCTCTCAGCCGCCGCCGGAAGCTGCAAAGTGAAGAAGAGAAGTGAAGGGTTTGAGTATGCTCCTGAATAGTGAATGGGCGTGGTTTTGTCTATTGAATTGGGCTTCTATTAGATTGGGCTGATAATTTAATTTCAGACCAATGGATCATATAGGCTATCTACTACTTCTTCCGTCCCTAAATATTTGCCACATTTGTATTCCTGAGGCAAAATATCAAGTTTTTTTAATTCATTTTATTTACATATTGATATAAAAATAAAAAATAAAATTTACATATCAAAAAACTACATGAAAAGTTCTTCGAAATAAGAGGTGTCAAGAATATTTTATTTTATCAAATAACCAATGAAAATGTAAAAATAAACAAAAGTTCCCGCGACTGCTGAAAAAGCTAATGTTGCAAATAATTTGGGACGGAGTGAGTATATATATAAAAGCTGATGGAAAATCCATTCCAATTTCATGGCTCAATTTTCCCGCCAGAAATTAACATCTAATGGCTTATAATACTTTGGTACACATGGCAGCTACTCATCAAATCTCACTATAGAAACATATACAATCACTTCTGGACAAAATAAATTTTAGTACATGGCATCTCAATATAAACAATCCAACCAATAGCTCACATATGAAAACTGCCACTGGCCCAACTTCATAACATCACGCAAGAATGAAACTTGCACTGCCCCAATTCATGTTCTTTTAATCTTCAGATTTTTCACACATGAGATATTAAAGGCATAATTAGACCAACATGTGCATTAAGGATAATGCCCATTTCAAGTTGAAAAGGAGTAAAAACAATTTAAATCCCATTTCAAAGCTACTATAAAGAGGCTCAGATATACACTATCTATATGCTCATCTCAAGGAAAAAAGATAAGATAACGCCATGGCTGCTTCTGGCTAGCCAGGTAGCCACACCAAGTTACGTATTACTTCCTTAATTTCAGTAAAGAGAATAAAAGAAAACATGCAAAATCAATCATCACAGCCTCTTTATTATTCAAATTAAGCTAGCTTCACAGTCAAAATATACCATGGCTGCAAAATTATTCCAGCTTCGTCACAACACAGAAATGTACAATCTGAAATGCATAAAATCCAGGCATCATTTGCAGATTTAGAGCAGTATGTATAAGTGCAAGAAAATGCAGGGTAGACACTATTATTCACCATCACTTTATAAGGGCAGGATTGAAGCAGGATGATGGGCATGAAAATAACCATTTCAAATGTGGTACTATAAAGAGGCTCGGATTATCACTAATTATATACTCATTACAAGGAAAAAGTTTATGATAATGCCATGGCTGCTTCTGGCTAGCCAGGTAGCCACGCCAAGATACATACCATCTCCTTAATTTCAATAAACAAAATATGAGAATACATATAAAACCAATCATCACAGCCTCTTAATTATTAAAATAATTCCATTATTATACACAAAGCATACCATTGCATTGTAAAGAGGATGAAATCACTTAAGTGGACCAACTATAACTGTCTTTATAAGGCAGAATTAGAGCATTATGTATTGCCAGGAAAATAACTATTTCAAAGTTAATATAAAGATGCTCAGATGTGCTCTATTTGTATAATCATTTTAAGAAAAAGGGTTATGAAAACGCCATGGCTGCTCCAACCAAGCTACGTAGCCACACCAAGATACGTATTAATTTCCAATATTTCAGTAAACAGAATATGAGAAAACATATAGGACCAATCATCACAGACTCTTAATTATTCAAATTATCCCAGCTTCATACACAAAGTATGGCATGGGTGCAAAAATAGGACGAAATCACTTAATTACAAGACGAAGCATGGAACATGGTCCCTATAGCACATGACAGTTATCCATTACAGGTGGTAGAGACCAAAACAGTCATTTCCTGCCTGGAAACTCTCAAACTAGGAAATGTTATGTCATTACCATATTAAAACCAAAACGACACTTACTTTTTCCAGACCCGACTTTTAAAAATACTCCATCCCAAAAAATTAAAGTCCATTAAAAAAACCAAGGTAAAAAGGTACGCAGAAAGGTCAGCAGCATACTGGAGGACCACCAAATAAAGTGGCAAAAAACCAAGGTAATATATTACCCATGTGCTGGACACAGATGGAGTAATGTGGGGAATTTAAATTCCAAGTGCACATTACAAAAGGTAGAAACCAAAAGTTAACATTCAGTATCATTCATATATATCTGTGTATGTGTGTGAAAACTTGACACGCTTATAAGTATGGACATATAGATCTATATATCTACGTTTATACACGTCTAAAATCAAAATTAGTAAATTATATTACTAAAAAACGTAGAAAATTTATTTATGCGAAGCAAGAATAGATAGAAAAAAGTAGAAAAACATACGCTAAAAAATAATAATCTAAATCATAAAGTTTAAGGTTTAAGCATACAAATTCATATCCATGAATCAAAGATATTCACTAGAAAAAAACTAAAAACAACACAATCATATACTTAGGGATGCCAAATCTAACCGAATGGAGGATTCAATTGTAAAACTATCACCGCTAATCAAGAGATGATCGGCGAAAAAGAAATGAGCGGCGGAGATGGAGATTGGAGACGGAAGAGAGAGACAAGACAACGAGATTGAAATGAAAGGTTGAGATGGAGGAGTACGGAGTATTAACCCTACCCTCACAAACTAAACAAATGGGCCACTTATAGGGTCGAATGGTAATTTTTTCATTGGGCCCGTTCAGGAGTACAAACTTTAACAATCTAATTCAACAAAAAAAAGTTAATTTTTTAGATAAATTTTTGAGCCAAGTGGAAAATATTTGTGATAAATATAAATTCTTTTTCAATCCAAAATTAATTTAGTATATGAATATTTGGCCTGTTCTTGAAAAAACAAGTTTTCAGTTACGGGTAACTGTGTATGGCGAGGTGATGTATAAGGCACACTCTCGAGCAAGTTTAAAAATAATAATATGTATTTTTTAGAATACTTCAAACTACAATGAATTTAGTTTATAAAGAAGTTTTTGATAGTACTAGGTTGGTCTTAATGTATACTCCGTACATTTTAGTATCCATCATTCTCATAATATCTTTTGAATGTAGTACACTCTAAAACTTATTATTTTAATGTTTTGTATGTCTATTTAAAATCCATACTTTATTTAAAAAGACATGGAGTCAACATATGATTTTCCCGCCCATACGTTATGATAATTACAAATGGAAATTGTGAATTTAAAATGATAAATGGCCTTAATTATAGTAATAATTACCATAAAGTATGGAGAACGTGATTGAACTAAAAAAATAAAATGATGTTATTAAAATGGTAAGTTCAATCACACATGGCGTAGTGATAGGCTTGTGTAAGTGGTTTTTACACACAATGCCTTTGTGAACGTGATGTTATTAATCTAAAAAATTAATTATTATTATTATTAATCGAAAAAATGGTTTAAAACTACAAATACAATTCCTTTTTTATCACATGGTATTAATCATAATAATTAAGGAAAGGTAAGTTAAAATTGCAGAAAGATAAGTTAACTATTGTGAATTTATAATGGTAAGTGGCCGAAATTGTAAGGTTATAATTATTATGTTTATAATATTTAATGTATTAAAAATTGGAAATAATTAAAAAAAGTAAGTTATAAAATTGCAAAGCGTATAAAAATGGAATCAACGTATTATATACTAAGAATAAGTAATTGTCATTTTTAACCTTCTTTTTGTGTAAGTGTGAAGTTAATATAGCTATTATTTTTATAACAATTAACGTGAGTAATATAATTACAAATGGCAATTGTGAAGTTAAAATGGTAAGTGACCGAAATTATAGTAATAATTATTATAATTATTATATTTATAATAATTATATAAACGTAAGTTAAAATTGCCGAAAGGTAAGTTAATATTTGTGAATTTATAATGGTAAGTGACCAAAATTGTAAAGGTATAGTTAGTATATTTATAATAATTAATGTATTGAAAATTGGAAATAATTTAAAAAAAGGTAAGTTATAAGATTGCAAAGCGCTTCAAAAAGTGTGGATGAGAGGTCAGGACTATTGATGTTGAAATTAAGGGGAGTGTATTCACTCAGGATTCTGATAGATTTTTTTGGATTATGGAAATCTGTGGGTATTAGGGCTGTGCATCGGTCCAAACCCGGACCGGACCGGGACCGAATAAGGGCAAACTAATGGACCGGAGACCGGACCGATAAAGTGTAAGACCGGACCGGGACCGGACCGAAAAAAACTGGACCGGTCCAGACCGGTCCGAATAAGGACCAAATAAGGGGAGAAGGGCAATTTCTTTGGAATTTAATAGAATTGAGAAAAACAATATACTCCATTACTCCAATGCTCCAAACAACATACTTCAATATTCCAAAAAGTCCCATAATCAATAGTCAATACAAACAACCACATTCAAATATCCAATCACAATTCATAGCTTTTAACTCAAAGCAAAGTAGAATATATAAGTTAAAATTTCACACCAACTCCAATAGATAAAGCAAAAACCATAAATGTATATTGTCAAATATTTATAATATAATAATTCATGAAATCTTGATCTTGAACCAAAGTCCACACTCCCAAGAAGGCAAGACTTCCGAGTTCCAATATTTTTGAGCCCTTGAATATGCAAAAAAAAATATTTATATATATTTAGCAATGAATTCATGCAATTTTATAAATAAATTTAACACAAAAAATTTCAAAGTAATATGGAATCAAGTTTAATCTTACCCGCTACCACACATCAAAGCCTTAAAAAACATCAGCGGTATCCACAACACAATCATGAACACTCACGTTTGCCATATCTAGTAAAACAAATATCCAAGTGATTTTGGTAAAAAGGATAGGTCATAACTCATAAGCTTAAGCCAAAGAAATGCATTTGAAAAATAAAAACAATATGATAAAGTGCTAATTGTAATTGTTACCTTTTTCAACTGATTTTAACTCATCGAGTGTTTCTTCCATGCCAATCTTCTTAGATGTCTTTAGCCAATCTTGAGAACATATCAAAGCTTGTACCATCTTTAAAAAAAAAGTAAAAAAAATAAATACAAGAGAAAGTTTAAGTAGTTAAGGTAAAGAGTTGACCTTTGGAGTTAAAGATGTTCGGAATGCATCAAGATGACGTCCTCCTGTACTGAATGCAGACTCTGACGATACGGTATAAACAGGCACAGCCAAAATATTACGTGCCATACGAGCAAGCACAGGATATCGAGGACCTTGGACACGCCACCAACCTAACAAATCATCACCCACTTCCGAAACTTCTTCAAGTCCCTCATTCAAATATTTTTGCAGCTCTGTTACTCTTGCCCTTTGTGTCCCTTTCAACCTTTTCTGTAACTGGTGAGCATATGTTTGACCTGACATAGATGTAGCATTTTCCAATTCATTGAGAATCTCACTACTCTGCCCGCTTTGAGCTTGAGATGGCTTATAAAGTTGCCAATACTCATCAAATAGTGTCTCAACACTCCCCTTCACTTTTTCCATAATGCTATCACCACTTGTTGCCCCAAATAGGTCACACACACATATTTCTAAACCCTCCAACTTATATCTAGGATAAAAATAGGAGCAATATACACCAAGGTGTTCAACTTCTCTGGCCTCCCATAATATTTTTCAAATTTCAACTTCATACGATTAGCCATTTCTTTGAAGTTTTTCACCATAACTTCATCTTCTTCACCCTCTACACCAATCTCCATATCTTGAACATCAATCACCTCATCAATATCTTCAAGATTTTGCAACATCTTATATATAGCCACAATCTCAAAAAAGAGCAAGTTAGATGTCACATAGGAAGTACTAGACAAATGTAGAGTAGCATTATAGAAAGCCTCCAAAAAACCATCAAATGTTTAACTTGAACCCAATCTTTAGCATTAGGAGGTCTATCTACTTTATCAACTTTATCCTTTGAGAAATCAATAACAAAGTAGGGATCAATCTTGGCATACTTCAAAAAAGCATTTTCATACTTCTATGCAACATTGAGCATTTTATAAGTAGAGTTCCATCTTGTGGGAGTATCTAAACATAAAGATGCTTTACACTCAATTTTTTCAGCAAGTGCACATTCATAAAACTTGCCTCTCTACTTGGTGATTGTCTAATAAACTTTACCGTAGCTCGAATGCGACTCACTGACTTCCCCACTACTTTCAAACCATCCCACACCACCAAATTAAGAATATGGGCAACACATCTAACATGCAAAAACTCTCCATTTGAGAAGAGATGATGTTGAGTTCTTTTGAAATCTTCAACAAGAGCAGTACATGTAGTACTATTGCTCCCGGCATTATCAACAGTAACAGTATATAATTTATCCAACAAGCCCCAATCATCCAAACACATTGTAAGTGCAAGAGCAATATCATCACCTTTATGATTCCCTCTCCCACGGTTTCCTCTTCCCTTTTCCCCATTTTCCATCGGTCCATCCCCCAGCCCTCTCTCTCCCTCTCTTCTTCAAAGATCATCTACTCCTCTCCATCATATGCGGCGGGAGGTGGCTTGGGGGCCGGCTCGGCGACGGTGACGTTCAGAGCGGGAGGCGACTTGGGGGGCGGCTTGACAACCGCACTGTTGGATCCAAAGCCTTCCGTCTCCTTTTTTGTTTTTTTTCTTTTTTTAACCAATTAGGGCTGAGAACAATCTATTAGAATCTTGATAAATCTTTATAATAAAATAGATTGAAATATATTGAAGTCTACATAGAATAAAGACAATCCATAATTCTTACATAATTCATGGATTATAAAAAATCTAACATAATTTTTTAAAATCTAAGTTGAATACACCCCTCTAAGAGCGGTAAAAGTTTAATAACAACGAAACAGTAAGGTGGAAAGAGAAATATGTTTCAATTTTTATTTAAATGCTATGCCAATTAATGGTAAATGATAAGTGGGAATGTGTTTCTATTTTTATTAAAAAAATTATGTTTTTGTATGAGCATTAAAAATGTTTTTAATTTTATTTAAATACATTAATATGTTTGGTTTTTAATAACATCTGAAACAGTAATTCAAAAAGGTGAATATGTTTTTGTTTTTATTTAAATGCTACGCCAGTTAAGGGTAATTGTTGCTATGGTAATTTTGGATTCTATTATATAATAATTATATGGTAAAGGGGAATATGTTTCTATTTTTATTAAAAAATTACTATTTTCGTATGAGCATTAAAAAAGTTTCCATATTTATTCAAAACTTATTACCATTTTTAAGTTTAAAATTTCGATTTATTTAATAACTTTGTTTAAAATAGTTATTACCATTTTTTTCCAAGTTTAAAATTAATACTTATTACCATTTTGATCTAAGTGTAAAAATAATAATGTACACTTGTATTTTTTATTTTATTCCATGGGTAATGAACTATACTTGGAATAAAATTTCCAAAACATTAACTATTGTTGATAATATGAAAAAAATGAATAAAATAACAAAAAATGGAAGATCTCTATAAAAGTTCACTTTTATCGTTAAATGAAAAAAATAATTACCCGAATAAAAGTCTCTTTATAATGTATTTAAATAGAATCATAAATTATGAATATGATGTATGAATAATTCTACTTTGAGAATCACGAATGTTTTATTTTTATTTTTTAATATTTAGGGGAAATTGGATACATTGTACATTGTGGATAGATAATGTTTATCTGGTGATCGATGGTCTCAACAAAGTTGTATCACCGCCTCAAATTCCGGTGATACAAATTGTGAAACCTAGCATTTAAAAAAAATTGGACACATACATTTAATTGTCTAACAAGTTTTTTTTATTTTTTAAAACGAGTCTCGGTTACACAAATATTTAAAAGTCTAACGAGTGTAAGATAATTGTTTATTTTACTAAATAAAAAATATTGTTTTCATTGTCAATAAAAAAGGAGTAAAATACCAACAAAAAAGACATAAAACAAAGACACTACATGTATTGATTTCCGTAAAAACGAATCACTGAAAAAAAATTTAGTTTCTTTTTATAAATGCTCATTTGTTTTTATGGAGTATATAGATCTCCATTTTATTAGCAATTTGACAAAATGAAAAAAACAAACAACAGAATTAACTCAGAACAATTTTTTTAACCGGAGTTTTTGATTAATGTTATTTATATTTTAGTCATGGAGAAATGTATGTTGTAGCTTCAAGAGTAATAAATCATAATCACTTGAAGATTCTAATATGCAACGAAGATAATATTTTCACAAATTTATACGAGTAATGTGAATTATAAAGTAGAAAACTGATGCTCTGGGAAGGGATTTGAGATAAGCATTATTTTGGGCGACAATCAAACAAAATCTAGTGAGTATTAAAATTCACTGACTATTGAATACCTAAAGATTTTTTATGACTTTTTAAAATCTTTATTGAATACCTCAGGATTTTTAAAGATTTTTTGAAGTCTAGATTGAATACCTTCAGATTTTGAAAGTCCAAAAATCCTACAGACTCCTAATTTAATGCACCCCCGTATGAGCCACATACTGTTTTCTATATGGCAAACTGTGCTAAAGACTAATGGACCGCTACGAATGAACTTTTAAACGAAAATCATAACAAATGAGGTGAACCAAAATTGACTGTGATGCCGTAATACAATTTAAGATGAGGTAAAGGTTAATGGATTGAGGCATGAGGCATTTGAGCTGAATCATATTAAAAGATGAAATTCAATCAATTATTTAATTTAACCCATATACAGATTACTTTTCTCTTCAATTTTTGATGTGTGATACTTTAACATATCCTTCAAGTGGACAAATGGATCATTTTGAATCTAATCGGCTGATCACTTGCAAATAAACTCTCTCCCCAAAAATGAAATGATCGAAAGTGCCAACACTAAAAAAATCTATAAATATCAAGGAATGGACTTCAAGATGTTCTTAGGTTATATGAGCCACATGCATACAGATAAACATGCTAAAGACTAAGCGGCAATTAGGAATGAACTTTTTCTAGATGGACACCTTAATAAATGATATAGGCTAAAACTAGTTTCGATACCACTATCAAAATACCATTAACATATATAGAATGATAAAATCTTAATTATCATCTTAAGATTTCGAGTTAAGAAACTATATTCTAACGCAAGTGATTAAGTTTATTCGACATTTTTCTTGTTATTCTTGGTCCATCGGAGTTTTGACAATAATGACAAAAGTCTAAGAATATAATAAATCCAATAACAATAAAGTCTAATAAATCAAAAAACAACATACGGGATTATAAGATTACGAGGGCATAATTCTAAATACCACAAAGTCAAAGAGTCTAAGGTTGCGTTTTATTCGCCTGATCTGATTTAATTTTTTAAAGATTTGATTTGATTTGATTGAAGTTATAATTAAAAATGTCTCTGATCTGATTACAATAAAAATAAGCAATAAGTTGAAAAAATAAATTTAGCAAAAAGCTACCTAATTCGTAAGTTATCCATGTGATGTTCCCCACAAGAGATAAGAATGCAAGAAAATTAGGAAAGTATTCCATAGCAAAAAAGTGGGCTAGGCAGAAAACCCCAACCATGGGCTATATGGTCTGTACAAGTGTACAACCAATCAAAACCCTCAGCTTTACTAAAAAGAAAATAACAATGGACCTCAAAAGTCCATATCCATTACTACCATACCATGTTTTTTTCTTTTTTTAATACGGAGTATTTCTATTCATTTTCCTTTCTTGAAATATCATCCTTTGGATATATGATCTCTTTCCCCCAAATCTTTAACAAACCAAACCCCCAAATTTCCAGTCCATTAGTCTTCTCGGGTTCAAGCCCAAATTTGTTCTTATCTCTCTCTACCCACAATCTCTCTTCTCCGGCGAAAGCCCTAGATCTGGCCCGTTCCCGGTGGGCTCAGCTCCGCCGTTCGACGTTTGGGTATTTTTCAAAATCGGGTCTTTCAGATCTGGGTTTCTCCCAAGGTTTGGAATCTTGACTTCTTCTTTTTTCTGTTTTCTTGATGATATGTACTATGCCTGTTTTTTACCAGAATTTCTGGGCTCTGTCCGAAACCAATTCCTTAATTTGATCGACTGTGTTTTTTAAAATCTATTAAATTTCATGGGCTTTTAGATCTGCATTTACCTTGTGTGTGCGTGTTTTGATTTCTTGATCCAGTTCATCGTAAAATAAAATAAATCAATTACTAGGGCCTGCTTTTGGTATTTTTCTTTGATTTCTTGTTATGACTTCCAAGATCGTCTTTTTCTCATTCCTTTTCTCGAACAAGATTGATGGTGATATTTTCTGGGCTCAGTCTGGAAGTTAATTGACTGTAGCCATGCTCATATTTTCTGGGCTCTGTTTGTTTAGATCTGTGTAGAATCCCAACTCTGTTGAATATTCAGGACAGTGCTTAAACATATTTTTTGGATGTTGTTGTCTCTTTAGCCAGAGGAGTAGTAAACAAATTGGCCCAAAGGCAGTTTTATGGAATCATACAGTATCTTCATCATTATCATCATCATGTTAAAGGTCCATTGTAGACTCTTTTTGAAGCACTTTTTTTATTGCATGGTTTCTTTGTAGACTATATTGTTGGAAAAAGTTTTAATTTTTTCATCTTTTGGGGCTCAATTTGTTAGTGTAAACTGTAAAAAAGAAAGAAAAGCAAAATGGATTTTATATTGCACATTATTTGCTGCATATTTTACAGTAATTGGTGAGTTTTGAGGCAAAATTTTTTTAAATCATGGGGGGTCCTTTTGAAGCATCTTTTGCAATTTTTCAGGTACCCTTGGAAAGTGATTTTTGACCAAAAAAAAGCTGAAATTGTTCATCTTGGCTGAAGATGGCTAACCCTGAGGTTCCAAACACTCCAGAAGCTCCAGATGAGAACAAAGAAATGGCTGCTCACAATGTCGCAGTGTCTCACAATAACATCACTGTCAAGAATGAAGTTGAGGTCCATGATGATGGGATGATGTCACATGCTGATATCGTGGGTCATGATGACATCATAGCTCATGACGAGATGGTGGCTCAAGACGATATGATGACCCACGGTGAGAATGTGGCTCAAGTTGATACGATAGCTCACGACGAGATGGTGGCTCAAGATGATATCGTGGCTCATGGCGAAATGGTTGCTCATGATGAGAGGGTGGCTGACACTGATCATGGGGAGATGGTGGCTCATGATGAGAGGGTGGCTGACATTGATCATGGGGAGATGGTGGCTCATGATGATAGGGTGGCTGACATTGATCATGGGGAGATGGTGGCTCATGATGAGAGGGTGGCTGACATTGATCATGGGGAGATGATGGGTCATGATGATATGATGGCTCATGATGCGAAGGTGGCTCACATTGATCATGGGGAGATGATGGGTCATGATGATATGATGGCTCATGGTGAGAAGATGGCTCAAGTGGAGGATCTGATGGGTCATGTTGAGATGGTTTCCAATGGCCATATGGTAGATGGGGAGGAGCTAATGGGTCATGGTGAGATGGTGGCTAGAGGTGATGATATGATGAGCCATGGCGGCGAGATGGTCCACCACCACCACCACCACAGCCATGAGATTCTCTTCAACAGCAGTGAAATTGTCCCGGTGGAAGGACACATGGATTACATCGAGACCCCACCCAACAGCTCCGAAACGCAACCCAACAAGAGAAGGAAGAAGAAATCCATAGTCTGGGAGCATTTCACGATCGAGGCGGTCGGGGACGGGTGCCGGAAAGCCTGCTGTAAAGAATGCAAACAGTTGTTCGCCTACAGTCAAGGCTCCAAAGTGTCCGGGACGAGTCATCTCAAACGCCACATCGCCAAGGGCGCCTGTCCCACAGTCCTACATACTGCCCTACAGAACGACGCCAACAACAACCACCCCCCCTATACCCCAGTAGTCCTACAGAGTGGTGCCCCGGACGCCGGGTCCCAACCGCGGGCGAAGCGGCGATACCGGACTAGCGCCTCCGCCGGCCCGCCGTACTTTCAGTTCGACCCGGACCGTTGCCGGCACGAGATCTCGAGGATGATCATCATGCACGAGTACCCGCTCCACATGGTCGAGAACCCGGGGTTCGTCTCGTTCGTCCACCACCTCAACCCGCGGTTCGATATGGTCAGCTTCAACACGGTCCAAGGGGACTGCGTCGCGACTTACCTCAGAGAGAAACAGTCTGTCCAGAAGGTGATCGATGCCATGCCCGGCAGAATCTCTCTCACGCTGGACGTGTGGTCCTCGTTTCACCAGGTGGGGTACGTCTGCATAACCGGGCAGTACATAGATTCCGAGTGGAGGATTCACCGCAAGATTCTTAACGTCATCATGGAGCCGTGTCCCGAATCCGAAACCGCTCTCAGCCACTCCGTTGCCGTTTGCCAGGCGGACTGGGGGATAGAGGGGAAGCTGTTCTCGGTCACGGTCAACCAGCCTTTGACCGACCTGGCGGCGGATAATGTCCGGTCTTTGCTCTCTGTTCGGAACCCGCTCGTTCTCAACGGGCAGCTGCTGGTTGGGGACTGCCTGGCCCGCACCCTGAGCAGAATCGCGGTGGACGCGTTGAACTACGCGGAGGAACCGGTCAAGAGAGTGAGAGACGCCGTGAAGTGCGTCACGCTTTCGGAATCCCACGAGGAGAAGTTCAACGAGCTGAAACGGTATCTGCAGGTCCCGTTCACGACCAAGAACCTCGCGCTGGACGATCGAACGCGGTGGAACACCACGTACGAGATGCTGCTTGCCGCTTCCGAGCTGAAGCACGTGTTTTCGTGCTTGGAGACTTCGGATCCCGACTACAAGGACGGGCCGTCCGCGGGCGACTGGAAACGGGTCGAGATGCTGTGCGGCCGGCTGAAGATCCTCTTCGACGCCGCCAGCCTCCTGACCGCGGCGGCGGTCCCCACCACGAACACGTTCTTCCACGAAGCGTGGAACATTCAGCTGGAGCTGGCCCGTGCCGCCGCCGCCGCCGCCGGCGAGGAGGAGGAGGAGGGGGAGGGCCGCTTTCTCGGCGGCCTCGCGAGGCTGATGAGGGACGGGTTCGACGAGTACTGGAGGAAATGCTGCCTGGTTCTAGGCCTCGCGGTCGTCATGGACCCGCGCTTCAAGATGCAGCTCATCCACTTCAACTTCGAAAAGCTCTACGGCGACGCCTCGGAGTTCGGGCGGATCATCAGCGAGGCGGCCCACGAGCTGTTCGCGGAGTACGCATCGGCGGAAGTGGGCCCCGCTGGGGGGACGGTCAAGCTCGAAGAGGAGGAGGAGGAGGAAGACGAGGGGACGTCGGGCGGCGGCGGGCGGGCGTACTCGGACTTCGACCGGTACGTGATACAGACGACGAGCCAGCTGGCGAAGTCCGAGCTGGAACTGTACCTGGAGGAGTCGCTGCTGCCGCGGGTGCACGGGCTGGACGTGATCGGGTGGTGGAGGGTGAACAGGAAAAAGTACCCGACGCTGTCGAAGATGGCCCGGGACGTGCTCACCGTTCCGGTGTGCACGGTCCCGCCGGGCTCGGTGTTCTGCACCGGCGGCAAGGAGATGGACCGGTACCGGTGCACGTTGCGGCCGGAGACGGTGGAGGCGTTGATCTGCGCCAAGGATTGGCTTCTCCAGAGTGAGTCTGCGGCACAGAGTGCCATTTTTCAGCCTATCAAAATGGAAGTCCCAATTTAGTGGGAGCAATAAATAAAACAGTATTATGAGAGAGTGATTTTTAATTTTAGGGTGTACAATAATATTTCTCTGTGGGCTTTTTTTGTATTGAATTGCGTGGTCTGTTTATCTTTTTTTTACTGGCCTCTATACAATTTCTTTGATTATGGGTCCATGGGTGTGTGTACATCTAGAGCTTTAAAAAGAAGTTTTACAATTATTTTTTTTGTTGTTAAAATAAGATCCACTTTTTTTGTTAACTTTTGTATACACATTACACACTCTTCTCATATCTTAACTTTGATTTTGATTTGTGGAAAATATATACTCCCTCCGTCCGGGAATGATGTTCCCGGTTTGACTTTTCCTCATTTTTAAGAGTGATTGACTATGGGGAGAAATTGTCCAAAATACCCTTCACACTAATGAACACCCCAATTTCCGCTAGCCACCATCGCCGGCATCTCTGACCAACCCACCACAACCCTTCACTAATGAACACCCCAATTTCCGCTACCAATTCCCGGTCGCCGCCAACTTCCCACCACAACCGTAGGTCCGCCGCTCGCCGCCATCCCCCACCACCACGGCCAACCCCACCTTCTCCACCAACCCCTACAGTGCCGTCGCCCGTCAGCCTCCACCACAACCTCCTGTCCCTCCATTGCCGCCATCCCCCTCCATCGCAGAAGAGGAAGATGCGTAGGGTGATTCTGTCACAGATCTGTTTAGATCTAGAAGAAAAAGGGGGGATCTTTATGGATCGGTGTGGAGGATGATGAGAAGAAGAGGAAGAGGCGGAAGCTCTAGAAGAAGAGAAAGAGGCGGAGGATGATGAGAAGACGAAGAGGGGGATCGGATCTCTGTGGATCAGAAAAAGAGCAGAGGAAGAAGAAGAAGAAGATGGTGGTCAGATCGGAGAAAGAGAGGAGAAGAAGAATGAAAAATGAAGAGAAAAAGGGGAAAAAGAAAAGATAAGGAGAACCGAAGAAGAAGAAAAAAATAAAGAGAAAGAAAGAAAGGAGGAAGGAGGATAGTTTTGGAAGAATGGTAAAAAAATTAGTAGAATGGGAACATCATTTCCGGACGAAAAAAAACGTACAATGGGAAGATCATTTCCGGACGAAGGGAGTATCATACTCCGTATTATTTAATTGAGATTCAAAATTTGTTTAATTTGACTGAACAAATCAAACTAGACGAGGAATACATTGGTACGGGGTAGTGCAAGTCAAATGTGAAATTTAAATCTCGGAAGTGTATTTTAATTTTTAACTAAACTAACAAATAAATAAACAAGTATGACAATTGATGATTCAATTTGATTCCTCATCTGTCTTATAAAAAAGTTTCATTTTTTGTTCGTTCTGGAATCCATTTTTAGAAAGAAATTTGTAGTCCTTATAATTTTTTACTCGTCTACAATTCTACATCATTTTTATGTACTTTTTCTTAATCGCGTGTCAAAATAAGAAATTGTTTATTGGGCGTTTCTAAATTTTATTCGCTCAAATTACATTAATATAAAGAGCTTATCTTTGTAGATATTGGGCCAATCTTGAAAGCTCTATTTAGTTTAAATTGGCCCAATGAAAATACGGAGCAGTTTCTTTAGTCTTCCGCTTTCGCGCGAAAAAACCTGCACGCTTCTTCTAATTTCCCTCCAGAATCAATTTTAGGGTAAAAATAAAATCATATTCAATTTTATCTTCGCTCCAATCGTACATCGACGGGAGAAAAGAATGGCAAAAAGTTTCAAAGATGATCTCCGGGACGTGCTGGCCGGTCTGTCATCGTCGCCGTCGTCGTCTCCGAGCAAATCCGCAGCTTATTCAACGCTATTGCACCTCCAGCAGCTCTCATCTACCAGCAGCGCCGACCCCGTTCTCATCACATTGCTCGCAGAATCGTCTTCCTCGCTCCTGCAATCGATTCTCGTTGATATCTTCGATCGCGATGAGGAAATGATGTGAGAAGCCCACCTTATTTGCTCTGTTAACTCAAAATTTGTTTGATTTTCTTGGAAATAACCGTGTCTATATGTTTTTCATGCTTTGATTTAGTTCTGTACAGGCTTTGAAGTGTTTGGGGTTTATGATTTATCACCCTTCTATACTTGCTTCTATTAAAGGTTAGTCCTTTTACTCCTTTTCTGCTTGCAGTGTTCTTTTCAATCATACTCCGTATAAATTTTATTCTAGTTGAGTTATGTTGGTTTATTTTGTGGTGGTAGACTGGTGGTCTATGTTGCACTGGTACTACTAAGTACTAAGGGCGTCTCTAACGGGGGAGAAAAGAAGGGGGAATAAGATGATGTGGAATGAGAATCGTGAGAAGCTTGATTAGGGAGAGGAGGAGCTTATAGGAGAGAGAAGAGATAGGGGGACGGTTAAAGGTTTAGGGGTAGTTTTGCAACTGTTAAAGATTTAGGTGTAGTTTTGCATAAAAACAAGATTAGTTTTGCTAAATCATAAACAATCTATAGATTAATTACCCCTCCGCCCCAAAGTTATATTCATACCTTTTTGGGTTTAGTAAAAGTGAAGTAGAAAGTAGTATGTGGGTTGTTGTGGGTATTTTTTTTGTATAAAAGAATTAAAACAAAAAGGAAATGGGAAGCTGATTTTGGACAACTAAAAAAGAAAAATGAAAAGCTCTTTTCGGGACAAAAAAGTATAATAAAGACAAGAATATATACTCTGTATTAAAAAGTTATACCTTCTCTACTTCAAATATTATTTTGATTAGAATAATGTATTACTCCATAATAAAAATTTAAATTTAAAGCGAAATAATAATACTCCCTGTCCCTCTATCCTAAAATGGAATATACTCTTTTTTATAAGAGTACTCCAAAATAAACTCTTCACTTCCCCAATCTCCACTTTACTTGTTAAGAAATGAATATGTGACTCTTATACTCTATTTTTCTTATACTTAGGTTTCAACCACAAGTCTTTGACTTTTCACTAAATACCTGTCACTTTTGAATACATTGCATTAATTCCGTGATGAAGTCAAAGTGTATACTTTATTTTGGGACGGAGAGAGTCACATTCGTAGAACAAGTTTTAGGAAGGAGTGGGATCAAAGTGTGATGTGTGCAATGCATTTCAGTACGCATGCTTATAGCTTTACAATTTTCTAATTCATCCTAATTACTTATAAAAGTTGCAGCCCCAATACATATGGTACGCATATTATAAGGTATTGGGTATTGACTATGTCCAAATTTCATCCTGAATAAGTATTGGTGCAACATAGGTGGTAATATAAATATATAATGTTGAGCTGGTTAGTTGATGCTCTTTCAATTGACTGAATGTAGGTGAGGATTCCAGCTTTATTGTTGAGTCACTTGTTAAGGTTATCACAACAACCAAGATAAAGGTAAATTAAAAATTTAACTGTGAAATGTAGTGTGGGCACTATGTTGGGCCATGTAACAACCAAGATAATACTGTTTATTGATGATTGCAGTGGGTTTGCAATTTGGGTTTGTGGTGTATATCTATGCAACAGTTTACCACTACGCTTTTGGACACACATTTTCATGCATTGCTGAGGGCAATTTCCCATGGCCTCGATAATCCTATGGGCTCTCTTTCTATAACATTTGAGGCTATGCAGGTGAGTAATTATCCATTTCAATTATTACTTCTCTGATAAATAGATTGTGTGTTATTTGTTAAAAAGGCTTAGTTTAAAGGAAACAAAAACACTTTTGAGATACCACTGGACAAAAGCCTCTTTTCCTTCTTTTTGTAAATTGAAGAACATAATGGTCACGTCTTAATCTTTAAAGACTGGTTTATTTGTTTCAGCAGTACAGCACCTCTAGTTTATCTAAACTATTATTTGTTCATATTATTGTACAGCACCTTTAATTTATCTAAACTATTAATTCCTCTATCCTACTATCTTTGTGCCTTTTATCATTTTGTACATCAGAGTATCTTTTCCTCATTTCATATTTATCATATTTGTGTTTTTGAAAACATTCATACTTAATATTTAACACACCAGTTCCACTTTTATCTTATATGTGTGCCACTTTCTCACGTTCCTGATCTGGACTGTATTCTGGATCATTCAATGTAATATGTTCCAGTTTTGTAAAATGAATTACTCCGTATATTTTAGTCATACCAATCATATTAATCTTGAAAAGTACTAAAAAAATTGATATTTGAAACCATCTTTCTTGTGGTTTTTATAATCTTGCCTTTAGTAAAAACAAACAGAAAACATTAAGTAAAAAAAAATAAAACAAACAGGCACTCAATTATTAGTTAGCTGATTATGCAAGCCAAATTCCTTTTGGAATATTCTTTTAATTCAGCCATAAGATGTAAGAATCCTTAATGCAATCTATTTTAATACTGAATAGTACAGAGTGTATTGTATGTGCTAATGCTTGAGTAATTTTGGAGGCAACCAGTAAACAAACTTGGCTATTAATAATCATTCAATTAATTGATAAAACAAATTTATATCTGAAACCATGAACCTGGCTATTAAGACTTATTTGACAAATTACTAAGATATCAAGATTCAAGACTGTATAATGAAACATTTAGTTATCAGGTTCATTCTTTGCTGATTGTAAAGGCAGGCTGTGATGAAGTTGGCTGGTTCAATGGGTGAAAAGATGAGAAACTCATCAAATATTTGGGTTCCTCCCCTTTATAGAAGACTTGCAAGTGATAATAAAAGGGAGAAGGAAATGTCTGAGAGATGCTTGCTAAAAGTGAAGACCATTATATGTCCTCCACTAATTGCTCTTTCCAAGGTAGAATGTGCTTTTTAGTTTCCAATACTCTGCCCGTGCATATATTTTTGTACTTCTAGCATGACTTGCCATTAGGGTGCCATTTGCTTATAGGAAACTATTGTCATGGAAAATATCCCTTCGAACAAGAAAACATTTCCCTTTGCACTAAAAAAAACTTTTTTTAAAAAAGAAATTGTGAAAATGAAGTCATGTTCCAGGAAAGCTATGTCCTGGTAATTAAGGCAATTTTTTCAAACAGTTTTATGGGTCAAATTTTATACTCGCATTATACATAGAGTTACTCATTTTCCACAAAAATTGTCCTCGAGTAAAAGGACCCGCTGATTTGGTAAAACAGCTGTTATACCTATATGGTTGCATGTATTAGTTTCTCCATTAAAGATTTTAAGGTGTTTTCAAATTTTAATTGACAATATTTAACTTAATCAAACCAAGCTTGGGTGAGCTAAATTATCTTCCAAGTTCCAACAGTCTTGCATAAAAGAGGATATTAATCTTTGACCTTTTTTTATACAAAAGATGGTTGTTCTAGACATGAAGAAAAAGCTGCTTGCAGAAATAGAAGAAATGGTTAATCGTGGCAAGAAGATTGAGGCTCTTAAAGCATGGGGGTGGTTTATACGCTTACTGGGACCGTATATGACCAAACATAAGGATTTAGTCAATGAGTTGCTTAAACTTCCAACACGGACATTTTCAGACTTAGATCCACAAGTTCAGATTGCTTCGCTGGTACTTTTACTTTTGAGTGGGAACATTCTTTTAATTTATGTTGCGCATTGATAGGACATTCAACTTTGGATGTGTTAGCTTCCTTGTAGATGAATTTACAGCTGCTTTCAAAATATTGAAATGTTTTAAATTCATGCTTTATGTTCAATAGATGTTTTTTTAATGTTGTTCAGGTTTCATGGGAAGGTTTGATCGATGCATTAATCTGCTCCCCATTCAATGATCCTGAGACCAGTTCAGCTACCAGGAATGCTTCAAAAGATATGAAAATTTATGAAGGGGACTGTAAAAAGATGATTTCAAATGGATTTTCTAAGAAGCTTAAGCTTATAATGACACCTCTTGCAGGAATCATGACAAGTAGATGTGATGTATCCGTTCATGTAGCATGTCTGTCTACTTGGTGTTATCTATTGCATAAGCTTGATACCTCTGTCAGCCATGATTCAGTGGTCAGAATTGCATGCCAACCAATTTTAGAAGCCATATTCCAAACCGGACCCAAGGACTGCAACAGATACTCATGGAATTTTTGTATTGAACTGCTTGATAATTTTATACTAACAAGAAGTGGTCAAAATGAAAGCATTAATGTCCACTTAGGTGCTGACCTATCTCCTATCAAATGGTCACCATGGGATTTAAGTCAGCTAGACTTTTTTGTAAATACTATACATTATCTGCTCAATCGAGGATCTGATCCTGCGAGGCATGAAGAATTAGTTACATTGACATACAATGCTACGTCAAGGCTATTCAGATCTTTGTTGAGATCAGTTCAGAATTCCTTAAGATGTGAACTTGTCACTTACGATGAGGTTATGCTATGTTTAAATGTAATTTTGAAGTTCTTCATTGAGATTCTTGAAATCTCGAGTTCAGACAATACAATATCCCTTCAGCTTTTGTGTGCTGCAATGGAGGAGTTAGATCCATCAATACTGGAATCTCCTTTGTACAAAGTGGCCTTGGACATAAAAGTTCTTGAAAACGTACAACCAATTTGCAGGAATCTCAAAACATCAGATATTGGCAGTCTGGCTTATATGGAAATGGTTTCTCCCGCAGTGTATATAAGTGTTTTGTACTTTGTCACGGTCATTAAGTCTCCATTGGTTGTAACACCCAAAATATACAAGTATTTAAAATTAATACTCTCTTCATATGACAAGGTGGAGATGCTCAAGATGTTAGTCGGTTTATTATATACTCACAAGGAATCAAATTGCTTTGAGATATGGGTCACCCTTGCAAAGTGTCTTAATGAATTTGTAATGGAAGATGAGTCCGGTTATTCTGCAGTTATGCTTCTCCTAAACTATCCATTTGCTGCTTATCCTGTTCATCAAGGGCAGTTTGAGATTACACGTGCCATTGAAGCATGGGAATTGTTTTATGATTATATAAGTAAATGCTCACAAATTTGCCATTTGATTATCACAAGGGACGTGTTTGAAATGTTGAATGGAAGCATTGATGAAAACTGTGAGAGGGGTGATTTTGCTATGTTATTAGGTAATGCTATGGCATGTGTTTTGGATAAGGCTATTAATGATAAACACAATAACAAAGATGGTGATTCTGGGAGCCTCAACAATGTCATGAGTAGCCTGGAATTTGCCTTCAGGTAAGAAGGCTTTATGTCTCCACTTATGCGATACAATAGGTTTGTTGTTGTTGCAAAAAGGCTTCATGTTATGTTATAAAACCATTGATATAAGAAACATATATATATGTATGAAATTAGAAAACTAATCTCTTTTTTTTTCATTTTGAATTATCCAAGGTAAAACCCAAATATAAGGAAAAGAAAATATCTTAGAACTTTTTCCATTTCCCTATTTTTTTTCTGGAACCCATACATACCCTATGATGTTATTGTGCTATTGCATGCCAGGAAAGTGCAAACTTTCTCAGAAATTTAAAATCTAGGGAAGTGATTTCATATTAGGTGATACCTTTGACCTAAGAAAGTTTGATCATATAACTTGAAAGCAATGAAAAATCCTTCTAACCTAGACGCAGCTAGTCACACGGTTACTTAAATAGTCCCTGTACCGAATTTGTCATTTACTTCTCTATTTTTAGGCATTTTAGCCCCGGATGCCAAGTATAGGCATATAGATTAAGATAAAGTTTAGCTATAGTGGTTGAAAGGAGAAAAATGTCCTTCAATAAGTCTTGAGTTATTTTGTATCACTTAAATGGGGAAATTGACCTATTCCACCTTTCGCCCAAATCTGAATTTACATGTCTCTGTAAAAACACTATGTCAGTTCTAATGATTGTTTGCATTTCCCTTGGACTTGCACAGGTTCATGAAGATCCCCTGGGTGGTGGAAGAAAAAAATTTGCAAATAAGTTTCAGTATAGCATCAAGGTGCTGATGAATGTTTCTTGTTAACTTTATTCCTTACATACTGCCAACTTCCCAAGTTAACTTTATAGAATTTCAGGTTACTATCAAAGCTGGTGAACTTCATTGGGTGTTTTCCATTTCATCAAGCTTTTATCTCGTTTAATGAGGTTTGTCTTTGACTCTCTTCTCTACGAACAAATGCAATTTCCATTTATTAGGATTCTCAATTATCCCGACCCCTAAATAAACCCAAATGGAAACGCATGGAAATGTTATTGATGAAGTATTTAATGTCCGTTTGAAAAAATGGAAAATGACTTCCGGGTGTTTGATTAAAAGTGTGGAAAATAAAAAAAAAACTAGTTTTCGTTGTTATAACATAATAAAACATGGTGAGTTTCGGTTTGAGGAGAGAAAGGTGGAAAATGTCTTCTGCCAGAAACAAGGGAAGACAATCCTCCAAATAAGGTTCATTTCTGTTGACTTCGAAAATCATTTTCTGCTAACTCCTATCTTCAAGAACAACCAACCAAACCTAGAGAATAGGAAAATGACTTCCTGAAGTCATTGCATTCCCTTACTCGCTTGATTTATACTCTCCTACGTCCCACTATTTTTGGGACATGGCCACATGGGGGAGTGACACGGAAATTAAGAAAGATAAAATTGTGTGGTTGATATTGATGTTAGAAAGTAAGAAAAAGTAAAAATGAATATGAAGCACACAAATATGGTCCCCTGTATGAGAACACAAATAACGAGAAATACAAAAAGGTAAAAAAGGATACAAATAGTGGGATTGAGAGATTATATATTTTTATGTAAAGACAGAAATCTAAATGTAGGTAAAGATTTCAAATCAAATTTAATTTTCCTTCATATTTTCCAATTTTAAACCAATCATTAAAAATTAACTTCCCATAACATTATGGTGTAGTCTTCATCAAGTCATCAACCATGCATTATGTACATTACCTTCAAACTTCATTTGAGTTTGTCATTACAGTTCTGATATGATGTTTCATGTGTGTTTCCACTCTCCCATTCCAGGTTACAACAAAGCCACTGCTTCTATGGCTATCACATATGGATCTTCAAGACAATTGCTTCAAAGATCAACTCCCCCTATTATGGTCTGAAATCCTGAAGAATCTGCAGAAGAACCAATTAGTTATAAACTTTGATTCTTCATTTCTCAAACTGCAGTCCCCCGTTCTCCAGAAAACTCTCGACCACCCGTGCCCGGAAATCTCCAACCCGTCCGTCCAGTTTTGGGACGCCACATACGGCAAACAGATCAATTTACAGTACCCTGAAAACCTGCTTCGCATTCTTGACAAGCTTTCGAGGAATGGGAGACTGACCCTATGCAGAAAAACTTCCCCTAGTGAAATGGCGTGGAAGGTCAGCAGTGCCTCCTCCCTCAACCGGTGTTCTAAAAGGGTTGAGTTTGCGGGTGTTGTTGGCGGGAAACGGGCACGTGGCGAGCTGACCGAACACCAGAAGGAAGTGAGACGTGCTCAACAAGGGCGGGGGAGTGACGCCCTCGGACGGGGCCCGGGAATCCGGACGTACACCAGTGTTGATTTCTCTCAAGATAATAATGAAGAGTCACAAGAGAGTCAAGACATCAGGGACACTGATTGCATCATGGAGATGGTGAGGAAAATTCAATAGGATAAAGCCAGGGTAATCACACACGGTGACCTCATGCTTTGCACAGACATGCCGTGTGTGTGGACAGTGTGGTGGTATGTGCAAAGCATGAGATCACCCGTGTGGTCGTACCCAGCACGATCCAATTCAACAAGGGATTGTTTGGGTGTAGGGTTTTGATACGGATACTTTGTTTGTATTTTGATAGATAGAACATTTCCGGGGTCAAGATAAATTATTTCTACTCATATTATGAGGTGGGTTAGAGGGGAAAAAATTGTTAATTTTACAAACAGAGCACTATAAATGCCTCAATTGAATTGGTGTCGTGATTGGTGTTGTATGTTGTTGGTGTAACTTTAGCCATCCTCTTTTATAAAAATTTGCATATACTTTTCAATATATAGATTTAGTTTGCAAAAATTGACCCCCTGAAACCTCATTGTTTTACACTAGATATGTACACAAATGATACTTAAATTAAAGGACTTGTTCATGGAAGGCATGAGATAAGAATTTTAAAATTTTGCGATACCAATTTTTTTGTGGGTGTATGGCAAAGTCTAAACATGGTTTTGATTTGATATTTTCTAATCAGAATTTTCTAAAATGTGTGAATCGATGTTTCCTGAATTTGGGAGCTATAAATTGATTGTTTTAATATTGACGGTCAACAACCGCCCATCATCATCACCGATGTTGGCTACCGCCCCTACTGATATCGACGACTAATAACACAAACAACTATTATTTCATATCTTTTCAAAATTCACTTCAAATTTTAAAATTTATATCATTTTTTTTTAAATTTTGAAATTCGTCCCTTATCAATCCTACTTGCTCTCAAAAGGGACATTAATTTTTTTACTAATGTAACGAGTTTGTGTACACATAAAGTGTTAGTGATCAGACGAGAACATGTTTTGTGTCCACATAATTTTTTTTTTTAAAATGATACTACTTAATTCTCTTCGTACACCGTTCCAAATTTCCCTCACACTGAGTCACACCAGACAAGATGTTTTCTTCAAATCATTTTTGGTGTACCCTAATCTCATTTTTTTACACTTCACATATTTGTCTGTTGCACAAAGAATTTGTTGATGCAATGTCAGTGAAATTTTGTTTCTGCAAGTCTGAGTGAAAAACACGTTGTAGGTTGTACACCAAACATGACTTTAAAATCTCCCACCCGCAAAAGCATTTCACAACAACAACCTAGTAGAACCCCGTAAAAGCAAGATCTAGAGAGGGCGTGTTTTCACAGATTTTACCTCTACTAAAAAGTATAGAAACTGTTTCCAAGAGACTTCCAGCTCAAACAACAGGGCTATGAGAAATTCAGTAAAATTCCATAGGAAGTAGTATGATCTATGAAGGTTGTGTGTAGACACATCCTACCCCTACTCAGAACATCATTCATTTGATATCACACCAATAAGGCTATAACTTTATTTCATCTCAAAAAAATAATAAAAACTATTACAACAGGCATTCATTACTCAAAGAATTCCAGATCACATATCTCAAGGTATCAATGTGGAGGAATCAAAAACCACAAAAGCACACACAAATGCTCCAGCAATGGAAAGCAAACCAAAGCAAAAGCTGGGAATTAAAAAAAAAAGAAGCTTAGGAGAGTGTAGGATAGTTTATTACCCAGTAATCATAGTTCCAGCTCCTTTATCCGTGAGGATCTCGAGCAGTAAGGAGTGTTCAAGACGCCCGTCGATGATACTCGCAGTGCGTACCCCCTGTGCCAGAGACCTCAAGCAGCAAGTCACTTTTGGAATCATCCCGCCGGCGATCTTCCCATCATCCATCATCTTCTTCACTCCTTTGATGTCAACCTCCTTCACCAAGGTCCTGGGGTCATTTCGGTCCTCCAAGATCCCAGCCACGTCTGTCAGGAGCAACAGCTTCTCTGCCCCCAAAGCAGCCGCCAGCTCGCCGGCGGCTGTGTCTGCATTGATGTTGTAGGACTGCCCTGCCCTGTCGGCTGCCACCGACGCAATCACCGGGATGTGGTAGTTGTCAATGAGAGGCCTGAGCACGGTGGGGTCCACGTTCTCGATCTCGCCAACGAACCCAAGCTCTGCTGCGCTGGGCGAGGGCCGCGCAGTTATAAGGCGGCCATCAATGCCTGACAGTCCCACTGCAGTTGCCCCTGCCTTATTGATCAAGGAGACGAGATGCTTGTTGATTTTACCAGCCAATACCATGGAGACTATCTCCATGGTAGAAGCATCGGTTTTGCGAAGCCCGTTTAAGAAGGTGGGCTGGATGCCCAACCGTCCAAGCCAATGGTTGATTTCGGGACCCCCTCCATGGACAAAGACGATTCGGAGACCAACACATGAGAGGAGGACAAGATCGGCAATAACAGATGCCTGAAGGGCTTCAGATTTCATTGCAGCTCCACCGTATTTCACTATGACTGTCTTACCCCTGAATTTCTGAATGAAGGGCAGTGCTTCTGAAAGAATCTTGACGCGGGAGGGTGCGGGGGTGTTAAATGGTTCAGGTGATACAATTGATTCCAGGGACGTTTTGAGGCACGAGGTCAAGAAAGGGTTTCTGTTGATATTTCCATTGGCTTTTGTAATAGGGAGGGAGAGTGGAAGGTTGAGTTTAGAGTCCAGAAAAGTTAAGTCCTTCAAGGGGGGAGAAGGAAGAGGGAGGGTCTTAGTGAACAACATCATTTCCTCTTTTATGCAAATCAAAGGCCTTTGATCTAGGACCTGGCTAAAAATTTAAACTTGCAGCAAAAAGTTTGCCATCTGCAAAATAAATCTGTGAAAGTTATTATTCAAACCAAATGTGATGTGCAAGCAATTGAAACAAAAAAAACATCGTGTATAAGATAGAAACATTAAAAACTGGACAATTGTTTATGAAAAGATGGACAAAACTGCAGCATTTCAAATGAAAGATTCACATTCTTGATAAGGGTAGTAAAAATAAAGGCTCCGGAGTGTCAACTTGCCTTCACAACTCATCAGTAAATAACCTTGAAGAAACTCATTAACAAGAGAGAAAGAAATTGAAAAAGGAAAACACAATTCTGGTTCATTGATGATGGCAAACACCAGTAGCTGGACTTACACTATGTTTGGTTCAAGGAATTTGAAAGGGAGAGAAAAGAAAATGAGAATGAAAACATATTGTGTTGTTTGGTTAGAGAGGAAAAAAAAGTGGAAGGAAAAGAAAATGAGAAGACACAATGTACTAATAGGAGGGAAACCCAAATTCCTTCTTTTTTGGCATAAGAATAATTAGTAATAAAAAAATTAGATATTAAAAACTACGTTGAAAGTTCTACAAAATACGATGTGACAAGAATATTTTATTTCATCAAATAATCAATAAAATTACACAATCCAATTTAGGAGGAAGGTATAATTTGAATGACGGGCGAACAATTCTGATGTCACGAAGGCGAATCTGGGTTGAATAAAAGAAGACTCGAGATTGGGAATTCGGGATTCTCACATAACATTTTGTTCCCTTGGCAATGCATCGAACACATGGCACACACAAACAATTAAGGGTCCGTTTGGAAACCTGGAAAAAGACTTTTAGAAAATGACTTATTTTGCTGAAGCCATTTTCTTTCCTGATGTTTGGTTGAAAATCTGAAAAGGACAATTTTTATTTGGATGGTTCATTTCTGGAAAATCAGAAATTAACCATGAAAAACTAGAACATCGGGAACATGCGAAGCTGAACAGAATCAAACCAAAACATGAATTACCTCAAATCTACCCTGAATGAATCAAAAGGAATTCTCAACTTGAAGTTCAATTTTTTTTCTTTTTATAAAATTGATTTGCTAGACGGACGGATGTGTGTTGGCCTGTATATGGTGGGCATCATATCACTAGATGGCGTCGGCATGGAATTCAAAGCACGGATGTGTGTTGGCCTGTATATGGATTTTCCATTGACATGGGTTTTCCAAAGGAACCAAACACAGAAAATGTAGGAAATGATTTCTAGAAGTCAATATACATGTAGAAAAAGAAGAAAAACAGATCATAACGAACTTACCAGGAAGAAGATCGTGGAAGAGTGATAGCTGAAGAGTAAAGAAAATTGAAGAAGTCTATATACACTGGGGACTGGGGAGTATTCTTTAATCAATTAGACACCCTCCCGTTCTCTTTCTCCTATGCTTCCATCACTTTCCCCAACATTTGTCTTATCATACTCCATATTTATTTGGAAGAGTTTTGAATTTTAAAAAATTTTAAAATCATGATTTAATTGAGAGGTGCAATTTAAAAAAAATTAAAATCATGATTTAATCATGTTTGGTTCAAGAAATTCGAAAGAAAAAAAAAACAACATAAGAAGAAAAATATATTTTCTTTGTTTTGTTAGAGGGGGAGGGGAAGTGGAAGGAAAAAAAAGAGATTGACAAAATGTATTAATAGGATGGAAACCCAAATTCCTTCTATTTTGGTATAAGAATAATTAATAAGAAAAAATTATATATTTAAAAACTACGGTGAAAGTTATACAAAACAAAATGTGACAAAAATGTTTTACTTTATCAAATACTACGTAATTAAAAAGCTACTTTCACCGTTTATTCCAATTTTGTGAACGATGCATAGCGAGTTTCTTTGATCACATGTTCTTCTAGGTAATGGGGTGTCGGTTCCACCAAACTCCAGCGACTCGGATGCCCTGGCCTTTTCGGGCCTAGTGAATTTGGTGAGAGCACATCTTATTACTCTGTACTATTCTTCTTGAAAATACAAAAGATAAAAATGAACAATCACTTACTTTTTAATTAAACTGATTGGTCGTTTTATTTCGTCTCTTGAGTGATGCCCTAAACTCTTCTATATTTGATCGGTCAACACTTGATTGATCAATTTCTGATAGGTCAATTATCGATTGGTCATATACCGATTAGTAAAACACTTATATATAATTTCACACGGTTAGAGTTCGTTGTCTAACTATTTGTCTAACCTTAACTTTTTGCAAGTTAGCCACATCTAGTATCGATCTAAAACAAAATATATATATATCATTTTAATTTGATAAAATGATATATTTTTTTAAATATTTTATAAAACAATTCTAATTAATTTATGTCAGTATCAATATCAAAGATCAATTTTATATAATTAATGATCAATATTGACCATTCTACTCTAAAAAATTAAATTTGAATAAATATTCTGAAACAGAAATAACACGAAGTACTTTGGAATTAATTAATACATAGAAATCCTAATTTTATAATGAAATCATTATAAATTTAAGAAGAGCACTTAGAGCCCTAATAGTAAGACTCCATAGAAAGCAAAATGTTTGACCAAATAGGTCCATAATTCGATACTCACCTCCTTCTTATCCATCATCCAAACGCCCCTCCATCAGGTAATTCTTTATCGAAGCCTTCATCCCATCCGCACAGGTATTTGGGTGTTAATCCACCATCTCAATATTGAATGTATATCTTGTCTCACAGCATTAGGGTTCTGAGTTTCGATCTCACTCGATCGGTACGAACTGAGATTTGGATGCGGAGGGCGTCAACATCCTGTGAGTGAGGGTTTGCATTTCGGAATTTAGGTTTGTTTGATTCTCGCAATTCATTTCCTGCTGGAGATTTGCGTCGATCTGTTCCGCCATGGATTCCTCAGTTCATCCAGCCTCAATGGCGGCGTCGAGTAACAGAGAAGCTGCAGTTTCTGCAGCAGCCGCGTTGGCGGCTGCAGAGGACGATTTTAAGCTCTCCGGACTTGTCAAGGAGTCCGCCATCCTATTTCATTCTGGAAAGTTCAAGGAATGCATCAGAGTTTTGAATCAGCTCTTGCAGAAGAAAGAAGGCAATCCCAAGGTGAATGAAATTTTGTCCGTTTGAATGAATACTATGGAATCTGACATTCTATTGGTTGTTGATGATTGATGGTTTCCCATTAGTTTATGTTTTGGTTGCTATTTTCTTCTTAGTTGGTGCCTTGGTGCGTTGATTAGTTCTTATTCAATTTGCACGAGTATTAGTTTGGATGAGACTGGATACTTATTGGTTAATTTTCTTCCAACTAGTATGCCCTCATGCAAATTCTCTCACATTTAATTGGGTATACTGATTCACATCGTTTTGAGAATGGGTTGTTATAATGTTTTTATGAAGAAATTATTACTTAATGTTTTGGTTGGCTTTAAGCCTTTTATAATGGACGACATCTCGGAGATTCCTAAACCTGTTATGGCAGTGGGTCTACTATTAATTAAGCAGTTTTATGCATTTGAAAGACGGCTTTCAATTGGTAACATGGAATGGACTAATCTACTGATGTCACTGATGTGTAAGAGGTATCAATTCCAAGGATTTCCAAGTCATCTCATTGCCAATCCAGAGTAGAGAAGCAGAATACAGGAGTCTGTTTGCTGGCTCCAAAATTAAGGGGCTTTTTTTTCCGGATAAGGATGTGCACATCTTAACCTCCCCTCCCTCACACCCCTCCCAAAGATCCCAACAGTGTTGGAATTAAATTGGGTTTATTCTTATACCAAACATAGTGAGATTTGTTTTGTCATTATTGAGCATATTTGCTATCCTCTTGTATTTCTTCCATAGCATGTATAATAATATTATTATAACAAGAGTATTAGACTATTGAATATGATAGATATTCTCAACGTTCTCATTTCTTCTGCACTGTCTAGGTTCTGCATAACATAGTCATTGCAGAGAACTCTCAAGATGGGTGTACTAATCCCAAGAAACTTGTTGATGAACTTAAAAATTTCAAGGTACGTGACTAACTAATGGTCATGGGTCCTTTATCTGTTTGGAGTGTCTGTTAAATGTCAAGATTCTCAAGAATTTTGTAGTCAACAGCCAACAAGTGTGCCAAAGAGTTCTAATGTATGTGTAGTTGATATGATTTTTTCAAAGAGTAATCTGTATATATGTATTCTGCTTTACGTATTAAGGAATCTTATCGGTCATTTTAAGTTATAAATCTTATATTCAACAATTTCTTGAGTTTTAGAATACCGACATGCATACTTTATATTTTAGATATTCAGACTAACGTGGGATTTGGTGTCAGCTTTTTTTTTTAAATAAATTCTATCTTAAATTTTACCCTGAAAATTTGATCCATCAGTTTCCAAGAATGATATCCAATACAAAGCACTAACTTGCTATTCTATGTAGCTTTTGCCTCAAGAAGAGAAGATGTTGTATTCCACTTTTTATAGAGCTTGAAACTGCAGAAGTTTCTAACTCTTTTTTGAGTCCTGTTTTGAAGAAATATTAATAGTAACACTCACCTCAACTTTTATTCTTCTGTCCCATAAAAAAATACAGGGTAGGATGGTGTAAATTGAAGGGGTTTTAATTTACCCATTTCAGTTATATATTTGATACTTTTGGTGGACAAAAAATTCTCATTTCTTGTATTTTTGTTGATTCTTGGTAGTGTCACTATTTGGGGCATCTATGCCACTTACATATATTCTTGTATTTTTCTTATGGTCTCCCTCTCTCTCTAGATGAGGCGAGCAAATCTTGTTGCTACACCTGGAAACCGTGTGGAGGCCTCTACCAGTACTGCTACCAGTAAAGCTGAGGCTGCAAGTACAGGAAATAATAGCTCCCTTAATCATGATTCTAGCCTACGTAGTTCTCAAGCTATTTTTACTGAAGAATCTAACATCTCAATAACGTTGTACAACCTGGTATGTACTTATTTTACTTAGATACCAGATGTTTACCATCATGTTCATTTGACGTGATCTTGTGTAAACTTGCTCTCTAAAGCATGTGTAATTCATCCATATTGTTCTTGCACAGGCAGTTTCATGGTTTCATCTGCATGAATATGCAAGAGCTTTCTCAATTTTGGATGCTTTATTTCAGAATATTCAACTAATAGATGAGGTAAAAAGGCAGTGTATTAGTCTATTATATTATACCTGAGTTCAATATGTAGGGATGCAGAATTCTGATGGACTGGTGCCTTTTATTTTGCAGGATACAGCAAAACATATCTGTCTTTTGTTTTTGGATGTTGCATTACTTTCTCATAATGCAAAGCGATCTATGGTAAGTTATCTTTTGATAATAGGTTTGTAGTTTATTAGATCTTGAAGAGTAAATTCCATAAAAGGTCCCCAGTTATAGGTCGTTTTACATATTTAGTCCCTACATATCAAATATTACTAATTTGGTCCCCAATTATTATATTTATTTCTACGAATGGTCCTTTGTTAACATTTTCATTAAAACGTGGAAAAAATTATAAATTCACACTCCTTTCTCTTCTCAATTAAGCTTTCTCCTCCCTTGTACTCCTTTCTCAAACCCGTCGCTGAGTTTCTAGCTTTGAACCCTAAACCAAAATCATCACTCTTCTCTCAATTGTTTGTCTAACTGGAGGAACGATCATTTAAATTTTGGGTTTAAGAGCTTCAAACTCAGCGACAAGTTTGGGAAAGAGTATGAGAAGATGAAGAAAGCTTAATTGAGGAGAGAGAGAAGTATGAATATACAATTTTATCCACGTTCTTAACGGAAATGTTAACAAAGGACCATTCGTGGAAATAAATATAATAATTGGGGACTAAATTAGTAATATTTGATATGTAGGGACTAAATATGTAAAACGACCTATAACTGCGGACCTTTTATATAATTTACTCGATCTTGAAATGTTGGAATGTCTTCTACTGTATATGTGATTCTTAGTTGCACATGGCTCCATGCTAGCTATCTTTCAGTCTTTTGCAAGAAAAGATTTGGAAGAAAGAATTTGGATTTGTTTCTAATAGTTGGGACCTGAGAGTGAGGATATTTCCATTCCCCTGGATTTGTTTCTAATAGTTGGGACCTGAGAGAGAGGATATTTCCATTCCCCTATGGAGCCAAAGATTCACTATTTTTTGGCTTTGGGGTATGATGGAATAAAGCAAATTGGCTCTTTAAACTGTATGCGCTTCTTGCAATTGTGAAGTAGCAGCTAGTCAATGCAAGTTTTTACGCTCATCATGGGTCATTTGGAAACAGCCGCTCTATGTTTTACACATAGGGGTCAGACTGCGTACATCCGACCCCCCTTTACCCCGCAATGGGCGGGAGCCATTGAGGCACTGGGGTAATGTTGTTGTTTATAGTCGGGAGAGAGGATATGTTACAAAAATAAGTTCCTAATTGGCCCTGGGTTTTACAACATGGGTAGCCAACCCCTACCACTCATTAGTCACCGTAAAGGTGAAATCATACCTCTTTCTTTGAAAATAATGTGCTCTATCTTGTACTCTGGGTATGTATAATTCTTCGTATAATATTTAGCCCACAAAAAGATAAACACATCGACCTGTTCAGTAGAGCTGAATGTACTCAACTCAACTGAGTGGTTGTAGTGTAATTTAAAACTAAGCTGTACTTCATGGTACTTTGAGCTTAAAGACTAAATTTTAGTTAAAATTTAACATGCTATAAAACTACCTTCATGAAATTGACTTGTTCTCTTTAAAAGTGGATATCAACTTTCACAAAATTGGGTCTTAGCCTTTTGTGGGCTGGAATTTATATCTGGAAATGTTGTACTTGTATGGATCTTAGCAGAGTACTGACTTTTTTGAATTGTTTATGTTCCTTATCGAACATGGAATCTGTGTCTTTTAATTGACATAACTATCAAGCATCATCCGATCTTTAGGGTTAGTTATGAAATGGTTTTTATTATTTTCTTCATTTTGAAAATGCTCTGCATCAAACTGCATATAATACCCTTTGTCAATGTACTAGGATGTGATTGGCTATGTGGAGAAGGTCTTTTGTAACAGCAGCACGATGAATCAACCTGTTGGTGGGAACTCCGCACATGTCTCAAACGTTGTGTCAAAACCTGTATCTGGATCCAATCATTCAACCATTTCTGATGCAAATAATCCTCATGATCCCACCGTTACACCAAAGAATTCTGAAAGCTCCTTGGCCGTATCTTTATCCGAGGAGGTTATTGATGATGACAGTCACGACACACTACATTTAATATCATCCATCGAGATGAATGGACAGAACCCACCGGCAAGACAGCCTTCAAAAGACCTTCTAAAGAACCAAACCGACGAGTCAATCTCAGTAATGGATATGCGAATGAAGCTTCACCTTTGCAAGGTTCGCTTTCTCATCCTGACTAGGAACCTCAAGGCTGCTAAGCGTGAAGCTAAGATGGCCATGGTCAAAGATAACCCGATGGCTCTTTATCTGAAGTCCCAACTGGAATACGCCCGCGGAAATCATAAGAAAGCAATTAGATTGCTTACTCGTACCGAAACTGGAATCTCCAGCATGTACTACAACAACCTTGGCTGTATCTTTTACCGCCTTGGCAAACCCCATATCTCTGGTATGTTTTTCACGAAGGCTATGAGTAGCAGTTCATCTCTACGTAAAGAGAAGCCCTTAAATCTTTCATCCTTCTCTCGGGACAAGTCTATCCTGATAATGTATAACTGTGGTGTGCAGTACTTGGCTTGTGGGAAACCGGTACTGGCAGCACGGTGTTTTTACAAGTCTAGCCCCATGTTCTACAACAAGCCTCTCCTTTGGCTGCGTTTGGCTGAATGTTGTCTAATGGCACTTGAAAAGGGACTCCTGAAGCCCACTACCTCCTCTGACAAATCTGGATTTGAAGTGCACGTGGTTGGCAAGGGAAAGTGGAGGCATCTTGTTATTAAAAATGGGAATACAGTTGGGGAGGAAGAGTTGGTGGTTGGCTGCGGTCAACCTAACCTCAGTATGACTTTCGCACGGGCGTGTCTTTTAAACGCGTTGCATTTGTTGAACAGTCCAGAACCGCTTATTGACGAGGAAAACGAACCGAGAGAAACCCAGGCTGCATCCAATGTGGCAACCGGGGAGCCAAGTGAGCAAAAGGGCGTGAGTGGTCAAAATGCCTCCCCCTCCCCTCTCCTGAACTCCTTGTCAGATTATGAGGAAATATGTAAGAAAGAGAAGCAGATGATTGAGAAAGCTATCTTGGTGGATCTCTCTTATGTGGAGCTTGAATTGGGAAACCCACTAGAAGCTCTATCCAGCGCAAGATCTCTACTGAAACACACCGAAAGTTTTTCTTCAAAGATACATAATTTTTTGGGCAACGTCTATGCGGCCGAAGCTCTATGCCTGCTAAGCCGCCCAAAAGAAGCCGCGGAGCACTTGTCGGTGTATCTTTCCAAGGGCAATGGGGTCAGGAAGCCGTTTGATCAGGAGGACGTGGAAGCATGGAGAGTGGAGAAGTTGGTTGATTCCGAGGATCATTCACCGGCAACTGAAACTCAGAGTCCCGTGTTCCTCAACCCTGAAGAGGCCCGCGGGGTCCTATACACCAACTTGGCTGCCATGTCAGCAGTGCAAGGAGATTTCGAGCTGGCCCGGGAATACGCCAAGGCTGCACTGTCAATCATGCCTCGCAGCACCAAGGCAAACCTCATCGCGATATATGTGGAGCTTTTGGGTGGCAACATGGAAGAAGCACTGGTCAAGTTGAGACAGTGTAGGTCGGCTAGGTTCGTTCAGGATGGCTTTCCCCTGAATGGTTCTTCTTCTTCTTCTTCTCTATGACTTCGGTCGTATCATTCAGTGGGACCCACCAGTCCCGTCCCCCCGGGGGGTTAGAAAGGTAGTAGCCGCGTCTGATGAAGATCAATCCCAATACAGGTGATTTGTACCATATATAGTTTTCATCATCTCATGAATAAGTTTTTTCTCATGTGTATCCGCAAAATTTCATATTCAGTTGTAGGTTTGTTTTGTGGGGTTGGGTGCCCTACAAGAAGAGATCAGATATGTAGTGGTTTTATTTCTAGAGACCTGTGATTTCTAGAGGGTCCAATTCCTAGCTTTATGCTTTTTTTACAAGAGGTAGTATAGACAATAGAGTTGTGCTCTCCAGAAATGATGAATTCAAAGAAATTTTCATTGTTTGCGTCAACATTCTCTGTTGGAAAATGTTAAATGTACACTACATTTGTACAAACGTTGCGTCACATTCGAAATTTTGAACTATACTGGCAAATTTTGTCGCTTTACAACATGATCGGTATAGTTAAAATTTTGATGGGTGTAAATGTGGTGTCAACGTTGAGGTATGCTAGGGAGGGGTACACCAAGTTTGCAATCTAACTTGCACACCAAGTTTATCACAGTTACACACATACATGACCTGATAGCTAATGTTTGTTGTGCGTGTTTGATACATTTGGTGTGCAAGTTGTGTTACAAACTTCGTGTGCTGCTAGCTTTTTTCATCAAGCTTACGAGGTGTCCACGGACCATGACAAGACACGCTCCCCGTTCGTTTAAGTGTTGTACTAGTTATTCATTTACTTTCCCTATAATATTAGCATCAATAGTTTGCATTTGTCTGTTGTTATTTACGTTATTTGACTGAAGTTATTTTAAAGTAAATTTATATGGAAATTGGGGTAGAATTAAAACATAAAATTTATATACGGAGTATTAAAAAACTAAATAAAAAATCTACAACACAAGAGATGATATAATGATATTATTTTATTAAATTAGTAGAAAAAGTGATTAAAATTTGACCATGTAAATGATAAACAATCAACTTAAATTAAGACATGGAGTGCAAAACAAAAATGAATTGAAAATTTTATTTTATCAAAGTTAAAAGTGAAATGTAAGAAAAAAATGTGGTTTGACGGCTTGATGATCACTCATTTATGAACATTAATAGTCGACAAATGTGGTATCATATCACTCAAATAAATATCTCATCTATGTTATTTATAAAAACATTTCCATCGTCCATGTATGACATTGCAACTAAAGTGAGATAATTTTTATGGAATATGGAAAAGAATATGTAATTCACAATTACTTTTTTTTTCCTTTAAACAAATTTTAACCATTAATATTTTACTATTTCATATTTTTTGATCCGTGAAATCGAAGTAAATAAATTAATTAAGGATAGAGGAATTATATACTACTCCGTACTGTAACTTTAAAAGTATATCAGACTTTACTCTCGTAGGATCAAATTGATTTGTTGTAACTCACACATCATACATAATATCTAACCATTCTAACGACAAGACCGTCTATGCCTAAGACTTCATAAGACCCTTAGAAAAACTCCTATGGATTAAGGGTCCATCAAGTTCATTTTCGGTATTCATTTGAAAAAATAATATACTCCGTACTTATATCACCTTTTATTTTTGTACAACTTTAGACTTACTTTTTTAAATGTATACATTCTATTTTTTAAATTTGAAAATATTTTAATATAAAATAAATTGAAAATAATTTTAGTCAAATATCGTAAATCAAAACATGCAATTGGGATGAAGGAAGTATGAAATAGGGTAATTAGGGAGCACTAGATTATTATATGAAGAAATTCATATCATCCATACTATCAAATAATACACATAAAATGAACACACAAATAAAGTATTTGTGGTTATATATATATATATATATATATATATATATATATCCCCTCATAGACGAGAAATAGGTTGATTATTAAGGAAAGGGTAATCTGTATATCCCACAACAGGATCCTGAGTGTAGAATGTTTTCCTGTCATACTTATTCAGTGGTGCACCAAGTTTGAACCTCAACACCAAGTCCGGGTTCGCGATGAAAAGCCGCCCGTACGACACCAAGTCCGCCTCCCCTCGGGCTACGGCCTCGTTCCCGAGCCGCCTCGTGTACCCCCCGCTGCATATGAAGGTGCCCCGGTACGCATCCCGGAGGCGGCGCATTAGCCGGGCCTCCTCCTCTTCGCTGCCCGACCTGCCCGCCTCGGTCTGCCCGTACGCCACGTAACGCGGTTGGGTTACGTGGAGGTAGGCGAGCTGCGCTCCGGCGTCGGTCTGTAGCTCGTTCAGCCTCTCCACCACGGAGAGACCGAGCCCGAGCGGGTCGGAGTCCGTGGCGTCGAGGTGGTCGATGGCGGGCGAAATCCTGACGCCGAGGCGGCCGGGACCCACGGCATCAGCGACCGCTCGAACGACTTGGGTCATGAATTTGCAACGGTTCGGAAGGGACCCGCCATACTCGTCCACGCGGTCATTGATCCCGTCTTTCAGGAACTGATCGATGAGATAGCCGTGAGCTCCGTGGATCTCAACACCATCAAAGCCTGCGTGTTTCATTTTCAAAACATAGGATGAGTTTGCCATTTATCCCGTAAAACTTTTCAACTTTCCCACCTTACATGTTCCAAAAAAACATTTCAATTTGACCTAAATGGACACAATTGCCCTTACTTTTCCTTAATCTAACCGAACTTACCTCAGGTCACCACTGCACCTATGCACTAGCAACCGGGGGCGGGTTAAGAAATTGGCCATAAGTTATATCTTACATGATAAGTTTTTTCAACGTGTGTGTGTATGTGTCAAGGAACCAACTCAACAAAACCTGCTTTCATAGCATTAACGGCCGCGACGCGATAGAAGTCCACTATTTTTGCAATGTCATCGGTTCCTAGGGCCCGAGGTTCGGGATAGATCCCATAGCTCCCGTCTGGCATCAGTATCCTCCATCTCTTTGATATTGCTTTGTGTGTTGAAGAAACAGGTGCACACCCAGCAGGTTGATACACTGACCAATTTTGGTTCAAACCAACCACATTAGGTACAAAGGAAGAAAATCAAACGTTTTAAACTAGAATTAGTATTTTGGATTGTTTTTTTTTATGATGCAGATTAACTTTTAAAATGGTAAAGCTAAAGAGAAATTTACTTAAATGGGACTAAAACATAATGACTTTCTCAATATAGAACCATATGTTTTTATTTCTCAATGTAGGACTTTTGGTCATTATCAGTTAGTCATTATTCAAGTAAATGTCCATCATTTGTTGACATTATTCCTCCAACTAGACATTATTAAGTCATATTTAAGGAATAAAAAAATTTAAGTCCTACATTGATAAATGACTTATGTTTTAGTCCTATTTAGTCAAATTTCACAGAATGCTGAAGGTGTTGTTAAATGTGGCCATATAAAAGAGTACCTTCATGAGATGCACGACCAACATGCCACAGCTGACAAAAGATAACAGCGCCCTTAGCATGGACGGCGTCAACAACCTTCTTCCATGCCCCCACTTGCTCCGCGGTGAAAATCCCGGGCACGTGGGGAAACCTGAAACCCGAAAAATGGTTCACTTATAGCTTGTGCGGCTAGGTAAAATAAATGTGCACTAACTCGATCCGTGACCTGACCCAAAAATGCGGAGTTTCTAACAAACAAGTTCAAGCAAAGACCCAAAAGTGCCCAAATCCAAAACAGCCCGCTAAAAATAGGTCAAAACTGATTGATCCAAAAAGATTTCCTTTTCAAAGACCAGAACCCGAACCCGACTCGACCTTCCCGCTTGATCCATAGCTCTCCAAGACTTCAAATACATGTATTTGCCCATTTTCATAGCTTGATCTTTTATGTTTTTGAGTCTTATTTGGACCTACTCTTTCCCACACACTAACTTAATTGATTAACTTACCTGAATCTACTTGCAATAAAGATAAGAATGCAAATCCCTCAAAAAAAAAAAAACAAATAAAAATGCAAAAGATGTTCTTTTTGCTGAAATCATTAAAATCAAAGTTAATGACTTTAAGAAATGGAAAACTATAAATGAGATTTATATCTTCAATTTTGGGTGATTCATGGATAAATGCTCATGGATCATCATTCGTGTAACAATTTCAAGCTTGAAAAATTGCAGAAGAATATTACCCAGCAGAAGTTGGATCCACCATGGTTCCCTCAGTGATGAGAAACCCGCCGTGGGTAGCCCTCTGTGAATAGTACTCCGCCATGGCCGGCTGCGGAATCCCATTCAGAGCTCTGCATCTTGTACATGGCGCCAATACAATCCTGCACATGAACATATATATAATATACAATTATTATATATATAGATTCCCATATTTTATTTAGATTAATTAATTACTACAGTAGTTTATTGAGGGCTGACCTGTGGGAGAGATTGAATCTGCCCAATTTATAAGGGGAGAAGAGGCTGGGCTTTGATGGATCTTCCTGATCTGGAAGCTGAGCCATAGCTATGTATGGAATAGATTTGATTATGTGAAGAAGAAGAGAAGAAGTTGCAGAGTGTGAAGGTGAGAATTGGAAACAGAGAAATAAGCCATAGCTGTGAAGGAAGAAGGAATTTGTTGCTCTCCTAATTGGCTAATTCTCCTCCCAAAGTCAATGATTTGAAGATTGAATCTCCCTTTGACTAACTTTTGCGTTTTGACCTATGGATTAAGCTTTGTCTAAAAAGTAAAAAGACGTGTTTGGCAACAACTTCAACATTTATTCGTAATATTTTGAAAATACTATTTATCGATAATGTTTAGCTTTCATATTTTCAAAATTAATTTAGAGTATTGAAATTTTACTCCCTTTGTCTGTTAATGAATTGTGTGAACAACGATCCATACAGTCCAACTTTATTTACTTTATTTATTTTCAGTGCTCAATTCATAATATAATACGGAGTATAAAATAGTAATGTCACCTTTTATTTTGAAGATTTTTTTAGTTTCCAAATGTGTAAATTTTATTGTTGAATTTTACATCAATACTCATATAAAATTGAATTACATATAAAGCCGGCCAGGTCTCGTAAATTGGAATGAGCACCAAAAGATTAGAGAACCAAATGCATTGAAAACAAATATATGTTTATTTTCTCATCAGCCTTTCTCATGATTAGCCACTTTGTCTAATTGCACCTTCAAAATTGTTTGGCCAGTAACAAATCCATTAATTTGATCCCAACAATAGGAGACACACAAACACGTGTTTCCCTCTTCCCCGCCTAAACATAAGAATATCAACGGGTCGTAGAGTAATTTTTCCTTTATGTAGATCCGTCAGAAAGTTCAATAGACTTTCCATCTTAACCACAATCTATTCACGCTTTAAAACATCACAAAGCGGCCTCTTGTATAACCATTCATATCTTTTCAGTAACAATTACGCTCTTTCGATAACTTATCTCTGTATGCATGTTTTATTGGTCACTTGTTAAAATTAATTATTCTTATCATTTGTTATTATGTGGACTTATGATGTAATTTTAAACATTGTAATTTTGTTTTCCATGTTTACATAAATTTATAAATAAAATTCTTTTTAAAGTAGAAAATAAATTGAGACATAGTGAATACTTTGATGGTGTAAGGTCCAATATCCCTTAAATCCTAGATACATTTACAGTAGTGTGAATTATGTATTCCCAAAGCAATGGGCCAAATCCAATCCATTGGTGGATTGGAAATCTCCATAATCCATTTGGACAAATCAATTTGTTATCTAAAAATAAAACAAAAATTCCAAATTTACGCGCCGCACTTAATGGACCTCAAAGTCCATATCCATTACGGTTTAATTTTCTTTCTTTCTTGATATGCTTTGAGACTCGCCCGCCCTATTTCCCCAACCAAACAGACCCACCCCGTAGTCCATTTTACTTTCTTGGGTCCAAGCCCAATTTCGCTCTCGCCCCTCTCTCATCTCCCTCCGCCTCCGCTTCCGCCGGTGGCAGATCCTATCCGGTGCGTCTCCGGCGGCTGGAAATCGGCGACCGAGCTCTAGTATCGACGAATCGAAGCACTTTTGGGCGTCGCCTGTCAAAATCTCGTTTCTAGGTCTCGATTTCTCCGAAGATCTGCTATCTCCAGGTTTGGAATCCTTGAATCATCGCTCTGTATTTTTTTTCCGGATTTTATTGTGAAGATGAGGTTTCTTGTAGGGTTTCTCGATTTTCATGTCCGATTGAGATGATTGTGAATGATTATGCATATCTGACATTATTCTGTTTTCCGGTTGAATCGCCGTCCAATTTGGCCCTTTTACTTGTTTTCCTTGATTTGATTAATTTGGAATTTTGGATTTTCTTGTTCATGGAACTGCAAAGTGTGTGATTTTCCCCTAAAGACCAGACCTTTTTTTTACTTTTTTTAAAGATCTCATTACTTTTGATTGTGCAATTACAAATATCCTATGTAAGGCTTTGATCACATCATAGTATATAGTTGAATGCTACTAAAAAAAGAAATTCACAAAAGATTAATTTTTTTATTAAAAAAATTAATAAATAATCTTTTGCTCATTGTCTCCTACTTCCATAATTTGTTTGTTTGTTTTTTGTTATTGTGAACTTACATTTGTTCATCATACTTTATATGTTCATTGTCAATCGAATTGAAGGTGTATGTCTTGTTTTGAAAGTCATGATTCTGTAACATTGTATGATTTCACATAACCAATTTTTCTTCTGTCCTTTGTTAAGGATAATTTCTTTGGGCAGAAAAGATGGCTTCCCCACTCACTCCGACTTCGCCGAACACTTCTGGGGGCGAGAACCACGAGCTCATTGCCCTTCACAATGAAATGATGGGTGATCACGAGATACTAATCGACGAGATGATGCTCAACAATGAGATAGTCCCGATGGAGATGGAGAACAGTTTGGTATCCGAAATGCCGCCCAAGAAACGCCGTAAGAAGAAGTCGATGGTCTGGGAGTTCTTCACGATCGAATCGGTCGGGAACGGGTGCCGGAGGGCGCGTTGCAAACAGTGCGAGCAGACCTTCTCTTACAGCCGAGGCTGTAAGGTGGCGGGTACCAGCCACCTCAAGCGGCACATTGCCAAAGGCACCTGTGCTGCCATCCTCCGCAACCAACAGCTATTGAACAATGACGACGACGACAACAACAACAACAACCTGCTGTGTAGTGCTCCGGCGAAGATGAGGGGATACCGCGGCGGAACCACCACGAACATGCCAAAGAGGCGTTACCGGACCGCTGCCACGCCTGCAATCACGTTCGACGTGGACCGTTGCCGCCAAGAGCTCTCTAGGATGACCATCATGCATGACTACCCCCTCCACATGGTTGAGCATCCGGGGTTTGTCGCTTTCGTCCACACCCTTCAGCCGCGGTTCGACATGGTCAGCTTCAACACTGTTCAAGGAGACTGCGTGGCAACTTACCTCAGGGAGAAGCAATCCCTTTACCGGTTGATTGAGGGAATGCCGGGGAGAATCTGTCTCACCCTAGACATGTGGTCCTCCCACCTCCGAGTTGGCTTCGTTTTCATATCCGGACAGTTCATCGATTCTGATTGGAAGATTCACCGGAAAGTTCTCAACGTCATCCGGGAACCGTTTCCGGAATCCGAGTCCGCTTTCAGCCATGCCATCGCCGCTTGCCTCTCGGACTGGAACATCGACGGCAAGCTCTTGTCGGTCACGGTCAATCAACCCACGAGTGATCCGAATAAGGTCCGCGCATTGCTCTCCGTCCAGAACCCGACGATTCTTGACGGTCAGTTGTTGGTCGGGAATTGTCTTGCTCGCACGCTGAGTAGCATCGCGGCGGATGCCTTGACTTTTGCTCAAGACGTCGTGAAGAAAGTAAGGGAAAGTGTGAAATACGTGAAGACTTCTGAATCCAATGAGGAAAGGTTCCTTGACCTGAAACAGCAGCTTCAAGTTCCCACCACAAAGAATCTGTCATTAGATGACAGGACACAGTGGAACACGACGTTTGAGATGCTAGCCGCCGCGTTTGAGTTGAAGGAAGTGTTCTTGTGTCTGGACAAGTCCGACCCGGACTACACGGGCAGCCCGTCGGCCGAAGACTGGAAGCTGATCGAGACGCTACAGCATTACCTGAAAATCCTATTCGACACCGCGAGTCTTCTGGCGGGCCCGAGGATCCCGACGTCGAACGTGTTCTTCCACGAGGCTTGGAAGATTCAGTTGGAACTCGCGCGGGCGTCCGTCAGTGAGGACCCGTTCGTCCACGGGCTGACCAAACTGATGCAGGAGAAGTTTGACCGGTACTGGACGAGCTGCTTCCTGATCCTGTCGATTGCGGTGATCGTGGACCCGCGCTTCAAGATGAAGCTCGTCGACTTCAGCTTCTCCAAGATCTACGGCGAGGATGCCACGTCGCACGCGAGTGCTGTCGACCAGGGGATCCACGAGCTGTATCAGGACTACGCGCGAGAAAATGACAGGGCGGCAATGCCAGCTGGCGGCGGCGAGTCGGGCGGGCTGACGGATTTCGACAAGTTCGTCAAGTCGACGTCGAGCCAGCTGGCGAAGTCGGAGCTGGACCAGTACTTGGAGGAGTCGCTGCTGCCGCGGGGCCACGGGTTCGACGTGGTCGGGTGGTGGAAGGTGAACCGGATGAAGTACCCGACGCTGTCCAAGATGGCCCGCGACATACTGACCGTTCCGGTGTCGACCGTGACGGGGGAGTCGGTGTTTGGCACGGTGGTGCCGAAAGAGATGGACCGGTACCGGTGCTCGTTGCGGCCGGAGACGGTGGAGGCGCTCGTGTGTGCAAAGGACTGGCAGCAGCAGGATGAGTCTGCAAGAAGCAGCAGCACCAGTCTTATTGTATCTCCAATTAAATTGGAAGTCACCATTTAATATTCTACCCTCTCAATGTGTTTCTTTTTTCCTTCTTCTTGTCCCCCTCTTTTGAATAGTGATATTTTCTAAGAAATGGTTTAACATACATATAGTGATAAGTGACATCTTCATTTAGGATTTATAGTAAGATTAGGGTTAAATTTACCTTCTTCTAGCTAACTGCTCATCTTAAAGGTATTGGGTTCATTTTTTTTACAATTTTTTAAAAATATATTTGGTCCGTCCCTGAGTGTTTGTCCACTTTTGACTTTTGGAACTGTTCATCTAAGCACTTTGACTCATCAAATTCTCTCAATGTGTAATCCTAAAAATAGTCATGTGTGATCTTGTTTGATTCGTCTTAACATATAGTTTATTAATATATAATTTTTATAATTTTTTAATATACAAATTACAAGATAAAATGGATTAAAGAAGTGCATTGGATGGTGTGCAAAAATGAAATTGGACAAACACTCAGGGACGGAGGGAGTATGTATCACTGAAGTTACCTTTTAACCCTTTTCAGGTTATTTGTATCATCCCTAAGGTTGTTTGACATTAGAATCTAATGTCATATTATGACATTGGACATATTTGGAACTCTTTAGATATTTGGTTTGGTTTGGTTTCAAAGTAATTCTTACCCCGTAACACCTTATACACATCTACTTTCAATCTCCAAAGTCACGTTGATAATCCCATATTTAGTAGGTGTTTGTGAAAAATAAGTTCATTTACTCCCTCCGTCCCCAATTTGATTACAAATTGTGGGTTACGGAGTAAAATTTTCTATTTTTTGAAATCATTTTATTTACAAATTGATATATCAATAAGATATGAAAATTATATATCAAAAAACTACGTCAAAAGTTCTACAAAACAAAAGGTGACAAGAATATTTTATTATATCAAATACTTAATAAAATCGTGTAAACAAACAAAAGTTATCGAGAAGAGAGAGAAAATAAAATTGTAATCTATTTAGGGACGGAGAGAATATAAGTTATGCCTTAGGCATCAATTAGTAGGTAAGCGGCCAAATGGTTACCAAAGCGGGCTAATTCGAAGGTGTGCTAAGGGCACTGAAATCCCCATGAAGTTCTGGGGCTCAAACTAGGTTTCAAAACTTCTCTCTCTGTCACGTCAGCTTTAATTTACCTCACACTTTCAGTAAAAATGGGTTTGAAGCCCCAGGGCTTCAAACTGGGGCTTCAAACTTTTATTTTTTTACATTTTAAATACACATCTTATAGAATTAAATTAATAAAATTTAACTATTTAATTATTTAAAAGAATTGAAATGATGATAGTTCATTAAAAAAATACATTCATTATAAAAAATTACATTCATTAAATAAAAAAATTGAATTCATTAAATAAAAAAAATTACGTTCATTAAATAAAACAATTACATTCATTATAAAAACTACATTCATTAAATAAAAAAATTACATTCATTGTAAAAAACTATATTCATTAAATAAAAAAATTACATTCATTAAATAAAAAAATTACATTCATGAAAAAATAAAAAATACTTGAATAATAGTAATTTTTTAAAAAAAATGATAGATAGAGATAAATTTGTATTTTTGTTGAATTTAAAAAAAATAATTTTTTTATAGAGAAGAAAAGAGGAAAAAAGATGGGGGGAAAAGAAAAAGAAGACATCAAAATGCTTTCAAATTGCGTCAAACATATGACGCAGAAGTTTTAACACAGCTATAACGGGGGAGGGGGGCGGTGTTTAACGCCCCCAGGCGTCAAATGCCTCGTAACGCTGGTAGGCGTTAGATGTAGTTCCACTACTCTAAGTATCCATTAACATCGCTTCGCTTGACACTTTTCACTTAGAACGACTACAATGCTCTATTGGAAAAATTAACGTTTCTTCTCTTGCATTGTTGTCATTTGACTATGGTATTTACTTTTGCCAAATGACAAATAAGGAGACAAGATTTAAGAGATTGAGCGGTATGAATTATTTCAAGGTTCAACGGAACATTATAAATATTTTAAATGATCACAATCAACAGGTGTCATTTTAACTACTTTTTAATATGTGATTAAAGCTCAATTTAAATACTCTCAAACTCTCACGTGATTGTCTAGTCAATTGTGAGGAAAATGACTTTTTTGTGGAAACGTGTGAAAATGTAAGAAAAAACCTAAAGGTATTCCAAACTAGTGTATCCCAAGTGTACACTACCTTTTCATAGACATACACAGACATTCACTGTCTACGTGAAACAGAATTAGTGTCTATGTGAGATGGTGGTGTTACACGCAATTATGAGTGTAACTTAGACAACTTAGATTATGTTCTTCCCAACTTATTTTGTAAACTAATTGAGTATTTATTTTTATTAGAACGATCAAAAACAATTTTAAGAATAACTATAATCAATTTAAATCAGACTAATATGAAATTATTGCATTAGAAGGGATGGAGTGAAGGGAACATGGCTACCACGAATTGTCCAGCCAGACAAGTCCAGTCTTCTTCGAATACCTTTCTTCAGTTTTTTTTTTGTTGAATAATCATATAGTGCTCCGTAAATCCGTAACAATCAACCTCCATACCTTCCATCTTCCCTCTCTCCCTGTATCTGCAAGAACCCAGCCGCCTTTATTTCAGGTTCGTTTCTTCCACTGCAGTTAGCTACAAGAGCTTATTGCAGATTCAGTTCTAGTAAGACTTACTTTTGGCCTGTTAAATTCAAAGATTTGTCGGTCGGGTTCTGGATTGTTGAAGTTTTCCAATCTGGGTCGGTTGGATTTGAGAATATTCTTGATCTTCTTGTAATTGAACACCAAGTGTTTGATGATTTGGGCCACTGGTCGAATTCCTATGTGTCTTTTGGTTCTCTATGATGCTTCCATACGTTAAAATTATGATTCTTTTTTGGAAACTTGAAGTTGGGATGATGTGTTCTCTCCTGTTTGATAGCTAAATTTGGAAACTGAGGTTGAATTCTGGAGGAAATTTGGAAGAAATTTAAGTTCTTTATATACTTCTGTGGTTTCATTGCTAAGGTTGTTCATTTCTAAGGGCGGGCCTGATTGCTAAGGTTGTTCATTTCTTCTTGCCCTATTTCATGGGCATATCTGAAAATCAAACTTTGCTATAAGTCTGTTGACTAAACATCGAAGGCTGACTCAGACAGTTGAGGGACCTGCGATGCAAAAGCTGTTTTTTGGAAAAAGAAAATGAAGCATTCACTCTGAGCTTTTCCACGAATGGCGCTTGCCGTATCGAGTTTTCTGTTATTTGCCCTATTGCCAAGAATTGTATCTTCCGAGTTGGTAGAACATTCTAAACTTTGTGGGACGTACCACGTCAGCTATTCGGATGATCTTCATCATGAATTGTTTTATGTAAATGGGGAATTATTTGACAAACATTCATTCTGCAAAGCTCTTGTGATTGATTCTGCAAACCGTTGCTTTAGTGCTGGAAATGTTGGATATCAGCAGTGTGGGCTGGTTCTCTCACCAGGTACTGTGTAATAATATTCTCCCTCTAGTCTGATTCATGTGTTTATTTTTTGAATTTTTTCATGATCCTTCTTACATGTCCATTCACTCATGACTCAATATAATCATCTTCTTCATGATCAACAACACTTTACCCAACAAGTTGGGGTAGGTGGCATTAGATTCACAGTGTCAATTAATTCATTGATACTACGTAAGTCTACAACTTCAATCCATGCTAAAAGTATAGTTGCAATGCTCTTACGTCGGATGCCCTTCGTGCCACAACCTTCTTAAGAAGGAATAATGATATGAAGCTCTAAAACCATCTTCGTCATAGGTTAATTATTTCCATAATCATGGAAGGTATCATGATTGAGATGGTGACGGGTTTGAGATATTTGCTATTGTCAATATTTGTCATGTCGGTTGGATTTTTGGTATTTCAAAACCAACAAGTATGCAACTCATGGAACATTAACTATTCATAACTCCCTCCTTCCCAAAACTAAATTCACAAACATTATTTTGGGGTCAAGTTTTTTTCATTCTTTAGTTTTTTCGTTAATCATTTGTTAAAAACAAATTAATCTTGTCACCACTTGTTATAAAGAGCTTTTGATGTAGTTTTTAAATATATATATGTGTGTGTGTGTGTGTGTGTGTGTATAATTTTAAAACTTTGTACCATTATTGAAATAATTTGAATTGAAATAAATTGAATAATTGAATTGAAAAAGCACTCAATCAACCATCGTAATCTGCACTGTGGACTTAGTTTTGAGACGGAGGGAGTACTTATTTTGTTTTCAGTTTTCCCTTTCATAGAGTCAAATACCAAGCTCATTTGATAAAATAAAAGAGAACTCAAAACATATTGTACTCTATATAACACATTTAAGCAAAATTTGATTAAAAAACATTTTGATGAGCTAACCTTCAAGAAGAGTTCATGCATTTATGTCTGCATACAAGGCTGGGCCTGGGGGTAGCCGCCTAGGACCCATAATCAAAAGGGCCCCAAAATTTTCCAATTTATATGTATTTTTTTTGTAAAAAAAAAATAATTTCATTCTTTGGACTTTATCGCCTAGCACCCACACACACTCAAATAAACAATTTTTTCTCCCACACTACTCTAGAATGCTTTGTCAACTTCTCCTATTTTGTATGCTTCGATTCAATCAGTATTCATTGTTTTCTTCTCTGCATGGCTACATCTTCAATGTGAAATTGTGATTAAGTAATATTGCTCATTTTTTTCAAATTGGTTTGGCTATAATTACTGTGTGATTAAGTGATATTACTATGTTATCCTACAATTACTTATCTATAAGTAAAATTTTATTTAAAATTCTAAATATGGTCCCTATCTTTCCATTTGGCCTAAGGCCCAGTAAAGGTCAGGGATGACACTGTCAGCATAAGTTACTAAAACTGGATCTAACTGATAATGCTATATTTGTTTTAATCACTTTACTGCAGATGAGTTTACTTCTAGCTCAGGAAGAAAGTTTCTACATAACACTTTGAAGGAAGGGTCAGGGCCTCATGTTTTTGTTAAAAATGAGATGGTGGAAAAGAGGGATTCGCAAAGCAACTCTCTCTTAACCCCAAAAAGGGTGGCTTTTGCAATGTCAGGAATTCTTGTTTTATGTTGTGTTGTGCTTTGCCCTTGTTTGCAAGCTAAGAGGAAGGAAACTTCTGGTTCTGTTCGTTCTAATGACCACATTTTAGGTGATTTGTTACATTTCTATGTTCTATGGTTCTATACATTATTATAAACCAAGTTGTGAGTACCTGAATATAAATTGACTTACATTTGTATTATCTGATGATCAACTATATTCCCAAACAAAAAAATGTTTAGGATTTGCTCCAAGGATAAATGTTTTCCATGATTCTTTGAACTTACATGGAAAATAAGTAAATAACTTCCTCTTTAGAAAAGAGCTGTTTTCTTGAAACAGTTTGTTTTTTCTATTTTGTGTGGTAAGCATTATGTTATACCATCGTACATAGGACAGCTTATTTTGTGTGAAAAACTTATTACACAAAAACATTTTCCCCAATCTTTCTATGAGAGGAAAATATTAACAAAATGAGTTTGGACAAATACATAAAATCAGTTTATCGACTTTGAACCATTTGATTTCCTTCCCATCTCCCTATTTTGCATGGAAACATTTTTCCCGATCTTTCAATGATAGAAATATATTTTTAAAATGAGTTTGGACGTATATCTAAAATTGATTTGTTGAATTCAAACCATTTGGTTTCCTTCCAAACTCTCTATTTTCCTTGTTATTTTATTCCCGTAATATTTTCTGGATTCCAAATGGATCTTAATTCGTAAGCAACAACAGTTTTCTTTGACATACTGTTCTATGTCCATCCTTGTGATATTGGCTATTCAATTCTCTCCATACAGCCATAAAAATTCCTTTTTTATGTATCCGAATCTCCTAAAAATATGGATCCACAACTTATTCTCACAATAATTAGCACCTATGAGCAATATATAGAATCATAGAATTGATTTTATTATTGGTTGGTAATTGGTAGTCTATTATTGCAGTGGATCCATCAGTTCCATCAGAATCGAGCTCTGTTCATGAAAAAGTGCCGCAGAGTCCATTACGGATCCCACCAAGTCCTTCTAGATTTACACCGTCACCAGGACTTGACAGAATTGGATCTGTTCATTTGAATCTGTCTCAGGCTCTCAAAGTCACACAAAATTTCTCCCCGGCATTGAAGATAGGCGAGGGTGGCTTTGGGACAGTCTACAAGGCCCAACTATCTAATGGTCCATGTGTTGCCATTAAACGTGCAAAAAGGGTAACTCACTCTTTCCTTAAATGACTTTAATGCTCCGCTTGGATTAATTTTACCTACTATGGTAAACACAAAAATCATCTATTATGAAAAAATAGACTCACCTAACTTAAGGTTGAATGGTTCATCTCACCTAACTTAGATGATTAATACTCCCTCTGTCCCACTTTTTTTTATGACTGGAGAGTGTGACACGGAAGTTAAGAAAAAGTAAGACTGTGTTGTTGATATTGATGTCAAAAAGTACTCCATAAGATAAAGTAAGATTGAATGTGAATCTCCCTATTGTGACCTGATATGGTATGTCACAAAAATAGTTGGATAAATAAAGAAGGCAAAAAGAGATAAAATCAATGGGACGGAGGGAGTAGTATTTAAGTCCCCATACACTTATTGATTGACACATTTTTTAAGACACGTGAAATGCTTATAACCCAAAATGTTTACAGGAGCATGTTGATGCTTTGACTGATGAATTTAAAAGTGAAGTTGAGCTTCTAGCAAAAATTGAGCATCGCAATCTTGTTAAGCTGCTTGGTTATGTTGACAAAGGGATGGAACGTCTCATTATCACAGAGTTTGTGCCAAACGGTTCACTTCGAGAGCATCTAGATGGTAAGAAAATTTAATCCCGAAAATATGGTTTTGAGAAAAATTAAAATGGCAATCATATTGTTAATGGTACTACTGTCAGGTTTGCGTGGAAGTATATTGGATTTTAATCAGCGACTTGAGATTTCCATTGATGTTGCTCACGCCCTAACTTATCTTCACTTATATGCTGGTGAGGTGTTTTCCCTACATAATTAGTTCTTTCTCATAAACTGTTCAATGACTTGTGCTTACAAGAAGCCACAACACTAAGGCTATATTTAAAACTTGGAAATGATATGAAGGGAAAAACAATACCAAGGAAGATGGTTGTATACATATATTTTGATTTCTTAGCCTTTGTATTATAGAAATATTTAAATTGAATGAGTTTGAACAAATATATAAGTAGAACTAAGCAGCGGATTTGGACCTAGTTAGTATGTGACACACAAATAAAGAAAGGTGAAATTGCGAGGTTAGTATTGATTTATTGAAATTAAAAACTTAGGAAAAGTAAGAATGAACATGCACAATACATATGTTCCTATACTAAATATAGTATGAGATAAAATTAGTTGGACATGCAAAAACGTTAAAAAAGAACAAGAATAGTAGGACAACAGGACTAAGGAATATCAAAGTTTGAAATGATTTCATCCATCTAAAAGTAAAAGAAAATGGCAAAACTATCGAACTTGTTAGACATATTATTAAATAAGTGATACTCCCTCCGTCCCAAATCAAGTTACTTGCTTACCATTCACATGTCAAACTTCATTCACTTTCTTTCCCTATTTTCGTTAGTCATTTGATAAAATAATAGTCATGTCACCTCTTGTTTCGTAGATTTTTATATGCAGTTTTTAAATATGTAAGTTTTATTTTTAAATTCCACCTCAATTCTCCAAAAAATTGTATTGAAAATAACTTCAGTCAAACATCGTAAACCGAAACAGATTATTTAAGTTGGAATGAAAGGAGTATTTGTATTATAGTTAGCTTCATATTCTCCTCATTGTTTCCTAATTTCTTATATTTGTTTACTTTATATATTGTACTTCTTCTATGGTATTATTTGAGTTCTACAAAAACTCCATTGTTGTATCAAAATTTAAGATTTTCTTCTTTCTTTGACATACTCAAATTCAGTGCTACATTCCCTTATCTCCTTTTTAGAATCCCTACCATGACTTTCCATCCTAAATGCAAATGGGTAGGTGAAAAGTTTCATTTTAGTAAGGGAAAGTGAATGTGCTTGGGTAAGTGCTTGCCACTTGATGCTGAAACTTAACACAAATTAGGACACTGCACTGAGCATGTGCCCAAGTTTTTGGACATGTGTCCAAGGAGTGTCCGACATGTGTCTGAGTAACGAACACCCGATCAACAAAATTTTCAAGGTATCTGTGCAATCTAGGGGGCGTGAGGACGGAGGAGGTAGACCTGGGAAGAGTTGAAACTTAAAAGGAGGTCATTAGACAAGGTTTATGACTTTAGGATCTTACCGAGGATATGGCCTTAGATAGGGACATCCGGGGTCTAGGATTAGGGTGGTTGGGGCTTGGGGGTAGACCTTTGGGCCATGGTTTGTAGTTGGTGCAGGTGTGCTATTACACCTTAGTTTGTAGCACTTCTGTATGTGTGTTCTGTGTCTGAGTTCTAGTTTCTGTTCTTTTGTCTATGCTTATATTGTGTTTGTGTTGCTTTTTCTTGTCGTTCTCATCCTGTGTTTTGAGCTAGGAGCCTCTTAGAAAAGACCTCTTTACTATCCAAGTGGGGGTAAGGTTTGTGCGCGTACACATGAACCCAATGTCTGATTCTCCTCATAGTTATCTAAATTCTTATACTGCGGGGTAGTTGTTCACTGTATGTATTGTACTCTTTCTATGGAATTTTATTTGAATACAGTAGAAAATCCATCAGAAAATAATTTCATTTTGCAATTTCAAGGATTCACCCCGCCTTTCCGGTTCCTTATTTCTTTTGTTTTCTTTAGATATTTTGTTTTAGCATTTCTCACAATACAACATTCAATTTTTAATATATATATCTCAGAGAAGCCAATTATCCATAGAGACGTGAAGTCATCCAATATTCTCTTAACGGAGAGTATGCGGGCCAAGGTTGCAGATTTTGGATTCGCAAGGCTGGGCGATACAGACAGTGACAAAACACATTTCTTAACCAAAGTCAAGGGAACCGTTGGTTACCTTGACCCGGAGTACATGAAGACGTATCAACTCAGCCCAAAGAGTGATGTGTACTCATTCGGGGTTTTGTTGTTAGAAATCCTAACTGGTCGCCGGCCTGTGGAGTTGAACAATCATCCTGATGAGAGAGTGACACTCAGATGGGTAAATATAGTTCTCTCTTCTGTCTCATTTTACCGTCTTAATTACTATTCATTGGTCAAAACAACCATCTTTTTTTTACATAATGTTTACTCATAGTTTTTAAATTTTGCATTGTGTCTATTACATACGGAGTACTTTGTAAAAAAGTCATGTTTCAAAAGGTTTGTATTTGTCCTCAAAAGAGACCCATTTCATAAAACAAAGTTAACTGTTCACTTAACTTTGTTCAGTATGAAAAAAGGTTAAACTAGAAACTAGATTTAAAAAATATATCCCCTTTGTTCTCAAATTACTGTCCAGTATCAAGGAAATTTCGTTTTTCTTTTAGGAAATAATTAATTCTGACCTGTCAATATGAGGACAACTTGGTCATTTTTCTAGGATTTAATCTATTGAGTTGTTCATTGAGCACTTTTTGCTAACAAAATGCATTTAGCTAATGAACAGTTATTTGAGGACACAAGGAGTAACTAGGATCATATAACGTTAAGAGTTTTTACCTTTCCAAAAAAATAAAAAATAAAAAAAGATGTACCTTGATGGCTTGATCAAACATGACATTTTTTGCACACTAAACAAAAAAACGCTACTAAGCGGAGCCTTTCATTGATTCTTTAATAATTTTCTTTTCCTTTTTCAACCCCTGGGAGTCACCACCATTGATTTGATGAAGCAGGTGTTTCAGAAGTTTAAGGAAGGGGACGTGACGGGCATGTTGGACCCTTCTTTGAGGGGAAGGGTAGACAGGGAGATAATGGTGAGGATGTTTGAGTTAGCCATCCAATGTGCAGCGCCTACCCGGGCTGACCGCCCGGACATGAGGACCATTGCCGAGCGGTTATGGGCCATTAGAATGGACTACTCGAAGAGAGGACGAAGGGACTAAACACATCTCCCAAATCTTTGTGCCTTATTATTCTCATAAATAAAAAGAAAGAGATCATTTGTGAAGAAGGGTTTTGATCCGTGCTACCAAGTAGGGGTAAGAAGGTACACGTATACACTATCCCCATACCCTACTTCTTATGTGGTTTCACTGAGTTCGTTTGATATTGATTCGTGCTAGCTATCGTTTGTTGTACCATAGTAGGGGTATTGATTCATGCTAGTCGTCGGTTGTTGTACCATTTGTGAAAATGGGTATTGATTTCTGCTTGATGTCTCTCTACTACAAAGTAGGAGTAGGGTCAGCGTACACACACTTTTCCCAGTTCCTTTTACTAGATTTTAATTATTCCGGTAAATAAAAAATGCGATATCATTTGTGAAGAAGGGTATTGATTTGTGTTAGCTGCCTCTCCACTACCAAGTAGGGGTAAAGTCTGCGTACACAGTCTCTTTAGACCTTACTTTTAATAGTTGTATTTTACTAGGCGTGTTGTTTGTTTGGTATTGATTCGTGCGAACCATCGGTTAATGTACCATATGGATTAAGAGATGTTCTTGAATGAGAGTGTCATTAAGGCCTCTTTATTAGGTAATTAATTGAGAACTTCTCCACAAATTCACGATGTATGTAGATGCTGATAATACTCATTGTGTTGTAGCAGCTCAAGTTGCACACTTGTACACTATAGTACATTATGCCATTGTGAATGTTTGATATTTCACTTGCAATATTTCGCAATGATTTGGCGTTGTTCCATTCATTCTACACGTTGATTTCTATTTATTAAATATAATGAATCATGAAAGATTGTCGGATCGTTTTGAAATTTTATGTCTTATGATTAGTATGGCCGGGTAAACAAATTAGTAGACTGTTGTAAATTTAACGGCGCCGGTTTGAGTTAGGTAGGGCCAAAACCCTTAAGGGTCTGTTTGGTATACGGAATTGACGGAGTTGGAATTGAATTGAAATTGGAATTCTATGAAATTGAATTTGATGGAATTGAATTCTCCAATTTCAATCTATTTTTTACACTACCAATTCTAAATTCACATATTCTTGTGATACCAAACGGTAGAATTAGAATTATTGTTGTCAATTTCAATTTCATAGTTTAAATTCTGTGTACCAAATAGAGCCTAATTGTGTTTCATATGCATTGCATGACTTGACAAGTTAGAGTTGGAATTGGACAAGTCCATCCAAACACGCCCTACAAGTTGCTTGCATATGCATATGAGTTGTAACAAATTGGCTTATGAGCTCTACTTATGTCGTTATGCTTATTTATGAGCGTCACATGCTTTCTATGAATAGAGTTTTTGTTATTAAGATGTAGGGAGCGTTTGGTTCATTTCTATATCATCTAAATTTTTAATGTAAACATTAAAAATTATTTAAAACACTAATCACACACATTGTTGCTAAACATTATAGGACCTCTGATTTTGTAGTGTCTATTTTTTTATACGGAGTAGTTTTGATTATTTTTACAAAATGGTTTTTTATTTACCGTGTTTATTAAAAGTCGATGTGTTGATTTATAAAAATTGAGGTCAATTGTAGTTTTGGAACGAGAGTACTTTTTAAATTCGAATGAATTTTTTATTTACCGTGCGTATTCACATGTAAAATATGATTATTCTTTATAGATGGTATTAAGATAAAAACTCAAATTTATCTCTTTTGGGACTCATTTCTCAGGTCTCAACCACTTGAGTTACATCATTCAGACATCAATTGAAGATATAGAGAAACTTTTTAAATTTTAAACTTAGATTTCAAATTTTATATTTTAAATACTAAATATTATTTTTTAAGTATTAAATTTTAAATGGTTAGTTTCTAAATTTAATTTTTAGTTTTTAAATTAAAACTTTAAAATTTAAATTTACAAAAATGGAAGTATTCTGGGGAAACAAAAAAAGTAAAAGAGGAACTGTGAATTAGATTTTTTTTGTAAATAATGTAGTTCTTTTATAATATAAATATACTAAAGTGCTTGAAATAACCAAGGAATTCAAGACCACGAAAAAAATTGCGAAGAAAGATTTAAGTCTAAAAAACTACTCCTTATTAAATAAACCTCTTTTTTTTTTTCAAAATTTGAATTGATACCACTTGCCAATGGTTCCATAGATATCAAACAAAACATGGCCCTATTGAACCTGCTCCATAGTTAGTACATCAGATGGAATCTCTCAGTCATATATACGGAGTATATTACTGTCCTCCACATACTACCTTTCAAATATCCCCCCAATTTCTTCAATATACTCCTTCCGTCCTGGAGTATTCGTCCAATTTTGACTTTTGGAACTGTTCATTTAAGCATTTTGACTCATCAAATTCTCTCAACGTGTAAGCCTAAATATAGTCATGTGTGATCTTGTTTGATTTGTCTTAACATATAGATTATTAATATATAATTTCTATAATTTTTTAATATACAAATTACAAGATAAAATGGATTAAAGAAGTGTATTGTATGATGTGTAAAAATGAAAGTGGACAAATACTCTGGGACGGAGGTAGTATACATTTCAATCCTTGTGTTTCAAATAATTTACTTTTAACATGATTTTAAAAGTAATAAAATATTAAAATTGCATACTATTAGGCTATTTGTACATCAAAATTTGTATCCAAAGGCATGCACCTACATTTTATACTAGTACGATGTTAGTGTAATGAATTAAATTGACAAAAAATGTCAGTACAATTTTTTTTAATTGAAATAGCATTTTTTGTCAGTATAATCGTTGAAATGTCGGAACATTTTTTTGGAGTAAAATTTGGGGTACAATTTCGGTGTATCGCTAGCATATACTCCCTATGTCCACCATAGATCTTCCCAGGCACTATTCACAGGGTCAAACTTAATTTACTTTGTTTGTTAATTTTTACTATTCATTTCATAAAATAATACTCCATCCGTTTGGAAAAACCCTTCCCATTTGATTTGGGAGCAAAAATAAGGAAGTGTTAAATTATAGCTGATTTCCAATTTTGCCCCTGATGTGATGGATAAAAGTAAGATGTGATGGATAGATTATTAGAGAAAAAGTATGATGTGATAGGTAGGGTATGAAAAAGTAAGGGTAAAAGTGGTTTTTTAATAGAAAGGGGAAGTGTTTTGTTGGAAGTGGAAAAATTGAAAGATGAAGTGTTTTTGAGAACGCAGGGAGTATAGTATTGTTATCTCTAATTTTATAGAATTTTTTATGTAGTTTATTACTACATAGACTTTATATTAAAATTTTACCCCTATATTCAAATAAATTGAATTGAAAATAAAGTCGGTTAACTCTCGTAACACGCAATGGGAAGATTTTAAGTGGACAAAGGGAGTACATTACTCACTAGTACCACTAGTACGTCTCCACTCTCCATATTGTGGGACAGAGCCCAGAGGGGTTATTTGTCACGTCAAAATAATGGATTAAACTATTTGTACCCCACTTTGTACACTGCAGCTTTGCACCAACACAAAGTATTGGTATAAAACTAATTTTTGTTAATGACCAATACTTTGTGTCCGTGTAAATTTTTGTTAACGCACCAACATTTGTGTCGGTGTACACCATCAAAATGTTTGTGTATAATTGAGGTGTACAAATGTGATATAATTTATGGTGTAAGTGTAGCATGGCCCCAAAATAATTGTTTTCAACTTAATTAAGAAAAGAGGTTAAAGAGTTCCCAAAATGCCCCCCCCCCACACATTATATATACACACAACCGCTGGCAAAGGCCGAAACAGCTCATCAAAGAGAAAACAATTAAAATTTTTCTCAATAAGAAAAAAGAAAGATAAGGAAATAGAAATAAAATAAAATGGGTTCTTCTGCTCGCTCATACGCAGCTGCAATCCTCTTTGTGATGCTCTTCATCTCCACCGGTTTGCCTTCCGGTCTGCTTCCTTTATTCATTATTATTTCTTATACATAATTATTTCCTCCGTCTCAGTATATTTTTCACGTCCTATTTCATTTTTTATAGTCAAACTGGACAAACTTTAAGTACTAATTACGTTGAGTATGTATTGTATATTATTTATAAATGGTGTTACTATATCCATCTCACTTTGGCTAAATCCACTCTTTTTGTATGTATTAAATAATGGATAATATATTTTACCCTTAAAGATTGACTTGCATTGAAGTTTTCTCTTTCGTATTTTCAAGGATAAACTTGTCAAGAGAGTATTATTTATTGATGTGGTGGGCTTACGACAGGGTTGGGGTGGGGTGCAGGGGCAGGGGTAGGGTGGGGGACTGGGGGTGGGTTAGGGGTAAAAATTGTTAATTTTACGGAGCACCAGAAATGCCTAAAATGATAGTGGCATCGGAGTGTTACCGTACTCTTGTGTCACTGGAACCCCACTGTATGTATATATATATATAAATAATACTAAATACGGAGTAGTAATTAATTAATTACTTTATCGTTTCGGAAAATTTTTCATCCGTCTAAAAGAACTTTTTTTTTTATATATCATTTTAATATTAAAATACACTGCTCTTAAATGGTGATTGAATGGTGCAGAGATGGGAGGTGGGGCAAGGAAGATGGTGGCGGAGGGGAGGATGTGCGACTCCCCGAGCCATAAGTTCAAGGGGCCATGCATGAGGGACAGCAACTGCAAGACGGTTTGCGAGGGAGAGGGGTTTCACGACGGCGATTGCCAAGGATTCCGCCGCCGCTGCTTCTGCAGGAAACCATGTTAATTAATTCCTTCAGGATGTATGATTGAGATTCGATCCATGGAATAAATGTTCTTAATTTGCAATTAATAAGAGGACGACGCTCGCCATGCTAGCTAGCTAGATGATAGCTGCCTGGCAAGCTTAGTTCATGTCTTTGAAAACCAAACATGTTATGTGTTTGGTTTTTTTAAATTACTTTGTATCCCTTGCTTGTTGTTGGTGCTTTATTGATCTCTATGTATTCACCTCCTTAATTATTGGCTTGTTTGCTCTTAATGTATAATAATAATAATTCAATTTCCATTTGTCAATAGTTAATTTTTTGTTATTTTTTAGGGAAGTATACTTAAATGGCATTAAAACATAGTGACTTTCCCAATGTATTATCATATATTTTTATTTCCTAACATAGAACTAATGTTCTATGTCCACTGGTCTTTGTCCACGTAAATGTCTACGTTACTGGACATTGTGAGTTTTGGAGATATGATATCTAATTAAGAAACCTAAGAGAAATGATATAGATATTGAAATTTGAAATGAATTTTTTTTGGAGCAACTTAAAATTTTGATTCAATTTGTGATAGACAGGGTGGTTGGCAGGACATGAATGGTTGATGGTTGTGAACCCAATTTGTTAATCCAAAGCTCGGGAGATATCAAAATCATTATTTTGTTGTTTTGTGGTATCTGGAGACATCAAATGCGATATCTTTTTTAAGTTTCATTGAACATTAAAAAATAATCATCGCATCAGAATATATCAAAACTTAAATCCTTCAGATAAATTTATCCTCCTTTTATTTTTGAATCTGTGATTATTATTATGATTATTATTCTATTCAACCCCTTCATCTGTCTCGGCCCAAATTACGACCACTATATTCATCTGAGACAAGTAGAATACGATCACTCCATGGGCCTCTTCAACTATAGAGCAACGAGGGCCTCTTAATGGCCCACATGCGGCCCACTTATCATTCATCTTGCCTTTCTTAGTTTCTTTATGGCCTTGGAATGCTCAGACAGGAAATGAAGGTGGGTGTGGTGGACGGCCCAACCCTAAGCCCAAGTACAAAATGCCAATCGTTTCGGGCCTAAGCCCATGCGGTATGTCCCGTGATGAGAAGGGCGTGAGATGAGGTGGCGGGGCAACCTTCGTCGTTAAATTACTTAAACTAAAAAATCAAATTATATTTTTCATTAAACGAAGATATTAAAAGTGCATAATTACATTAACAATTTATTCAAATCTATTTTCTTAAACTTTTTGAACATTTCATCAACGAAAAAATTAAAAAATAAAAAAAGTATAGAAGTAAAAAATTAAAATTAAAATTAAAATTAAGAAAAAAGTGAAAACTAATATTTAAAACTAGAAAAAAAGATTAAAATAAAAAAATAAAAAAGTCAACGACTAAAACTAAAATTTGAAGAACAAAAAAGAAAATATTAAAACTAAAAAGTAAAACCACAACTAAAATTTATAACTAAACTAGTATTTCTACTCGTGCCAAGCACAAGGTCGAAGGAAATTTTAGCGATTCGGGTATTTTGTTTAATGTAATACGGAGTAGTTTTTATAGAACAAAGAAAATATATTTTTTACATGATTTTTAATATTATAGACAAAGAAGCCAAAGTAGAATAAATACTATTCGAGGAATTGAATGTCTACTCAACAAACTTTGTTTAAATACTAAATTTTCTAAAAGACCTCAGGATATAAATATATTTTTAGTATGATAGAAAGGGTGTCCATTGTCATTTAGAATTAATATTTTTAATATTCTATTTGTCTTCATTCGTGATACAGCAACATAAATCTTACGATGAGTGAACAACGATTTTGTTAAAATAGTCCAATAAATGACAATATTTGACCTTAAAATTTGTTGATAGTATTACAAAATATAAGACTGTTGAATTTCCCCCTCTGGAACTTCAAGGATAGTCGTGTATCAGATGGTACCGAATTCATCCGAGGTATATAAGCTTTAACCCCAACTCGATTTCTCGAAACCCCAATAACACTGATAACAATTTTTTGCAGCTTTTCAACGATTAATCTTGTACCATTACACAATCTAGATGTTTGGTCAATACTTCTCTATAACATAATTGGTGCCCCTTTTTAAAAACTATTTTTGAGAATAGGTAATTAATAGTTGTCTTAAATATAACCTCTTTAATTAGTAGTTAATTGCCAGCTGGATATTTCATAAATAAATCCCTGTAAATATTTGTAGTCTCAATAGATCTCTGACTTCAAATTTACAGATCACATGTTCAGATTTACCTTTAAACAATAGTTTTAAGAACCGGATTGGACCGGCCAGTTTGGACCGTGAACTGGTGAACCGGTGGTTCAACCAGTCTGGTCTAGTACTTTGGACCGCAACCTGCTTCAAACCACAACGAACCGTTGGTCGAACCGATCGGACCTTTTTTTTTGCAATTCCCCCCCCCCCCCCCCCCCCCCCCAAAAAAAACACACCCCACGAGGTTCCGAATCCAAGTCCTCTTAGTACCAAAGTTAAATTCCCAACCATCTAAGCTAGAGAGCTTTTGTGTTACAAGTTCACTTTAATAATATTTAATATTTTATTAGTAAAAAATGTTTAAAGATTTCTTTTCATTTTTAAAAATTTAAAAAATATAATATTATAGCTATGATTCAAACTCAGAATTATTGATATATATGATAGTATCACAAAATGCATATTATGTAAAGATTTCATTTCAGTGTTAGACAATTTATTTGAAAAAAAAAATCAACTCTTTGTTTATAATATATATATATATATATATATATATATATATATATATATATAATTTAAAAAAATATTTAAACTAGCAGTTCGACCAGGAACCACTAGTTCGACTAGTGAAACAGTGAACCAATATCTGGACCGGTTCGATCACCGGTCTGGTTCTGAAAACTATGCTTAGAACTACTAAATCGTTCCACATGCACCATACGTAAATTTTACTTTCAAAAAGCAAATGCTATTTTTCAAAAGTAAGTTTATTTTGTTAAAAGATAATTACAAATGTCAAAAGTACATTTATCCTTTTGAAAATAGAGTCCCCATTATGTCGTGAAAGAGGCGTGTGGAAACACAGTGTATATATGGCTTAAAATGTCACACACTATTTATTTTGTTGGTGTATTTTCATTATTCATTTGATAAAATTATGTAATCATGTCACATCTAATAATTTTGTAGATTTTTTAATGTAGTTTTTAAGTATGTAATATTTATCTCTTAGTTCTATACGATTTTTCATATAAAATAACTTAAAAGTAAATTTAGTCAAACATCATATTGCGCAATAAAAATATAAAAAATCTCTTTATGTTCAATTAAAAATAAAATATGCGTACATACTCATTCAAAATAAACGACATGACGAAATGTGTGCACACTACCATGTGTCAAATGAGACACATGTGATGCTATTTTTTTACATTGAGTGATTATAATTTTTATTGTATTTTGTATAACATTCTATCCGTCAAAATATTTTGTCAATTTATATTTTACCATTGTAAAATATATCTAGCTACATACAGTATTACTCCATCCGTCCCGGAGTATTCGTCTTGTTTTGACTTTTGGAACTGTTCATCTAAGCATTTTGACTCATTAAATTCTCTCAATGTGTAAACCTAAATATAGTTATGTGTGATCTTGTTTGATTTGTCTTAACATATAGATTATTAATATACAATTTCTATAATTTTTTAATATACAAATTACAAGATAAAGTGGATTAAAGAAGTGTATTGGATGGTGTATAAAAATGAAAGTGAACAAATACTCTGGGACGGAGGTAGTATTTTATTATTTAAAAAAAGAGTTATGTGATTTTTTTTGTAAAAAAGAGTAATGCAAACCTTTTTATTTTTATAAATCAATGTTTTGTGTAGTCTTAAAAGTCTTCACTGCACCTTTTCCCAATTTTGTTAATTTTCAAAAAAAATGCCAATGTAGTTTAAAAATTGATGCACATTGCATGCATCTTTCTATTTACACCACATTTTTTATTTTAAAAATGGATTTAGATATATAAAAAAACTAAAAAAATGCATACGAAAAAAACTTTAGTTTGTATTTCACAAAATAAAGAAAATAATTAATAAAAAAATTCATACAACGAAGTGACAAATACTAAAAGTGAAATTTGCATTAAATAAGACTAAAACATAATGACTTTCCTCATGTAGGATTTAAACTTTTTTATTCCATAAATAGGACTTAATAATGACCTAGTGGAAGGAATAATGTCCATGATGCACATTTAGTTGAATAATGACTTCGTGATAATGACCAAAAGTCTTACATTGGAAAATAAAAACATATGGTCCTATATTGGGAAAATCATTATGTTTTAGTCCTATTTAGGTAAATTTCTCATACTAAAATTATGTTAAAACATATATAAACACGGAACAACATACGAATAAAAGTTTAATGTAAACGTAGGAACTCTTATTACTCCGTAGTTTTTAACAATCTATAAAATGTTGGTAAATCTATCTACAAGTAGAAGAAAATAAAATTCAAGTAAAATGCATCTCACACATACTCCTCCGTTCTCAAAAACATTTATTCTTTCTTTTTTTTCTACTTCCAATAAAACAATTCCACATTCTATTGAAAAACCCTTTACTCATATTTTTTCTTACCCTACCTATCGCATCATACTTTTTCTTTAATAATTTATCCATCACATCTTACTTTTACTCACCACATCAAAGACAAAATTGGAAGTCATCAGCTACAGTTTAACACTTCCTTATTTTATCATTTGGTGAGAAGTGGAACTCTTTTCAAGTACGGAAGGAGTAATAAAATTGGACCGAATTTTTCAAAATAAAATTATTAAGCACTTGATATAAAAAAACAAATAAACTCTGGGTTCGTTTGGTATACAGAATTGATGGAATTGGAATCGAATTGGAATTGAAATTCCATGGTATTCAATTCCATAAAATTGAATTCACCAATTTCAATTCATTTTTTGTACTATCAATTCCAAATCTACATAATTTTTGAGCTACCAAACACCAGAATTGGAATTAAAGTCTTCAATTCCAATTTCATAGTTTGAATTCTGTGTACCAAACGGGGCTTCTATATATTTATAAAGTACTACTCCGTATTATTGATGGAAACTCTAGAAACAATAAATTTTAAATTTGGGGGAAGTGGCATATGAGTAGTATATATAGATCTATTGCATGCCAAGGCCGAAAGACCAAAGAGCAAGGAAAATATATCCAAAGGTTTTCTGATCATTTCTTTCTTTCTACTGAAACAACAAATTAAAAAAATGGGTGGTCGTCGTCTTCGCTCATACGCAGCTCTCTTCTTCTTTGTCATTTTCTTCATGGCCACCAGCTTGCCTTCCGGTATGTAGGATCTATCATATCCCTTTCATCATCAATTTCTAATATCATTGTTTAATATTAATTAATCTCTTCATGCCTTCTTCAATTCTTAGCTTATAAATTTCTCTTCTTCACCATATCACAAACTTCCCATATATGCAAGCTAAGGGTTATTAGTTTTAGATTCTTTATTGAAGTTATGGTTTTACAATTAATTAATTGCACAGGATTTAATACTAACACGTACTCGTTCCATCCGTTTCGCAAAAGAGTTCTGATCCGTTTTTTTAATTACTCTGGAGTATATGCTTGTGTTTTCTTGTTCTCCCTCCGTCCCATGAAACATTTCCCGTTTCAAAAATGGCGCGCCTTTAAAATGAGTAATTTTGGTATTATTTTCTAATTTTGCCTTTACTTTATAACAGAGTAGGATGAGATGTATAGAATAGATTAATCATAATTAGAAAATAGCACCAAAATTACTCATTTTAAAAGCGCGCCATTTTTTAAAACGGGATGTGTTTCATGGGACGGAGGGAGTATATTTCAAGTTTTTACACAAAAACATTAATCAATAGAATTAACTGCAAATACATATGATGAAATTTGCATTAGATGAGACTAAGACATAAATTATTTCCTAATGTATGATTAATAATATGGGCACATACATACATACAGAGATGGGAGGTGGAATGAAGATGGTGGCGGAGGGGAGGACGTGCGAATCGCAAAGCCATAAGTTCAAGGGTCCATGCTTGAGCGACACCAATTGTGCGAGTGTTTGCAAGACCGAAGGTTTTCCTGAGGGCCATTGCAGAGGATTACGCCGTCGCTGTTTCTGCAAAAAAAATTGTTAAATTAATTAATTAGGGCCAGACCGGTCCTAATTAATTAATCGGCGCACATGATTGACATGAATATGTGTTTTCAATTTGCTTGCTACAAATAAGAGACCGTTAACCAGTTACATATATATAATATAGCTGGCTAGCGGGCTCACTTGAAAAAAAAAGGCCAAACATGTTTTGGTTTTTTTTTTCCTTTATTGCCTTTGCTTTTATATGCATGTAATCGCCGGTTTGCTTGGTATTTGCTTTTTTATTTGTTTCTCACAAGTGTTCTTAATTATATAATATTAAATCATCCGTTATTCAATTATGTAAGTCTATGTAGCCTTGAGTACGTGTTAGTGTTTAATGCACTTATAAAATATAAATTATAATGCATGGTCAAATAGTGACATTTTTTTTTACTACAAATTAAATACTCCCTCCGTTTCTAAAAACCCTTCCTCTTTCATTTTTTTTTTATTTTTCTTAAAACACTTCCCTTTTCTATTAAAAAACCACTTTTACCCCTACTTTTTCATACCCTACCTATCACATCATACTTTTTCACTAACAACTAAACTATCACATCTTACTTTTACCCATCACATCAAGGGCAAAATTGGAAAGTCAACTACAATTTAACACTTCCTTATTTTTCCCCAAAGTCAAAAGAGGAACCGTTTTGAGAAACGGAGGGAGTATAATCTAAATGAATATCAAAATTATATCTTAAGATAAACCCAATTATGTTGAACTTATATTATACTTAAATATATTTTTCTTACAATTCGTGGTCAAANAAAACCCTTCCTCTTTCATTTTTTTTTTATTTTTCTTAAAACACTTCCCTTTTCTATTAAAAAACCACTTTTACCCCTACTTTTTCATACCCTACCTATCACATCATACTTTTTCACTAACAACTAAACTATCACATCTTACTTTTACCCATCACATCAAGGGCAAAATTGGAAAGTCAACTACAATTTAACACTTCCTTATTTTTCCCCAAAGTCAAAAGAGGAACCGTTTTGAGAAACGGAGGGAGTATAATCTAAATGAATATCAAAATTATATCTTAAGATAAACCCAATTATGTTGAACTTATATTATACTTAAATATATTTTTCTTACAATTCGTGGTCAAAGAGTGTCACTGTTTGACCAAAAAAATTAAAACAGAAAAGGTTTTAAGGACCGGTGGAAGTAGTGTATCTATTTATATTTTTTTGATAAGAGCACTGCAGGTGTTGTTGTCATATTATGATAACAAAAGTTGTTGTCGAAAGAATTAGAGTGATTATTATATTATTATTATAGATTTATGGTTTTAAGAAAACAAAAAAATAATTGAGTACTATATTGAAGATGTAGAAAAAGAAAATCTTTAACAATAACCAATTAATATTTCGCTCCCATTTAAAAAGAATTTAACCAATTATTTTTTAATATTCTTATTATGTTCACATTTCTACAATTTTCGTGAAGACAAAAAAAAATAGATTTTATATGACGGAGAGGATAAAAAACGGGATCCCTCCGTTTCTTAAAACACTTCCTCTTTTATTTTTTGTCTTCCAAAAACACTTTCACTTTCTATTTGAAAATCATTTTTTTGTTGGTGATTTTAGTGTCATCGGCTATTTTGTGTGATTAGATTTACTTAGACCACACAAGAATTTGAATGGACGTTGTCAAACGAGTTAGATGATGTTTACACCTGACCCTAGGCCGCTAATTGTTGAGTATGATGCTTATCTAATTTGTTGTCATCCCGTACGAATTTGGAAATATGAAATTATGAACTTGAATACGGATATACTACCTAGTGTACGTCTGTATGCGTAGTCGAAACGTTAGATATTTCTCACTGAGTTTTTATGCTGAGCGTGTAGCCTTTTTTCCTATTTGCTACACGTAGTTAACAGGAATGATGATTAAGAAATTAAAACAGTCTTGGAGGGTAGCGAGGGCAAAAAATGGATGAATGCTAGCTGGAGGAGTTTATTAATTAATATTTAAATTTAAATTTATTATGTTTTAAGGGCAAGAACCCCATGTGAACATTGCCCTTGCTTTACCAAGTAGTTCCACAAATTATTGCACAAATCAATCGTATGATTATTAAAGAAAAGCTTTCCATGCTGTGTGTTGTTGGCAAGAACTCTCGTTCAGTCATCTTGATTTATAATAAATTGTTATTGAATCATTATTAACAAAATTGAATCGACAAAAAAATAACAAATTTGAATGTAAACAAAATTAATTCAATTACAAAGCACACCCAAAACTTCATCAACAAAAATGAATCAATACCTTACATATAGAGACGTAGTAAATTGCTAAATTAAAATGTCCATACAGTGTCAAAAAAGATCACATTAAATGTCACATGTAATCATATATATAATGACAATCATGCCAATATATATATATATATATATATATATATATATATATAAAGTCATACATGCGAATGCATATTGCTAAACAAATTAAATAGATAATGACAATCTTGACATTGTATAATATCATTCCTGGTAATGTATAACGAAAGATATGTCAATATATAATGTCATATATCGCAAATGTTAATGCATAATGTCAAAAAGGGGTAAATATCAAGTAACTCTACTATTTGTCACTAATTTTGTTTAATGAGTATTGGGAGTCTACTATTTGTCACTAGTTTTGTTTAATGAGTATTGGGAGTCCATCTTGTGCGCCCAACTTGTTTGTTTGGCCAACTTGGTTTGTACAGCGAGGGGTTAATCAAAAGTTATACTCCATCCGTCCCTAAATAAAGTTCCTCTTTCGTTTTTTCTTTGTCCCTAAATAAACTTCTCTTTTCCCTTAAAAAACCCCTTTTACCCCTTACTTTTTCATACCCTACCTATCACATCATACCTTTTTACTAATAATCTACCTATCACATCTTACTTTAACACATCACATCAAGGGTATTTTTGGAAAGTCAACACCAAAATATCCTCTCTTAAATCCTCAAAAANCGAGGGGTTAATCAAAAGTTATACTCCATCCGTCCCTAAATAAAGTTCCTCTTTCGTTTTTTCTTTGTCCCTAAATAAACTTCTCTTTTCCCTTAAAAAACCCCTTTTACCCCTTACTTTTTCATACCCTACCTATCACATCATACCTTTTTACTAATAATCTACCTATCACATCTTACTTTAACACATCACATCAAGGGTATTTTTGGAAAGTCAACACCAAAATATCCTCTCTTAAATCCTCAAAAAGTCAAAAATGGAACTTTATTTAGGGACGGAGGGAGTATTTAATTAATTATTCCTATTTAGGGGAGTTTAAATTTGAACTCCTATTTTGAAGATATGATCCATGTTTTACTCCTATTTAGGGAGTTTTCTTTTTCTTCTTCAGTTATGTTGTTACCCCCAATCCTATCTTTCAAGTAAAGTAGAGCATTGAAATCAGCAATAATCCCCCAACTTATCTAGATAGCCCCAACAATCTTTTTTTCAACTGTGTTCACAACGTTTTTCTGTCTTGTGCAGTATTATGCCCATAGACAAAGGTCAAGTAAAATAGATTACAGTCACCAATAACTCTCCCTTGGCAATGCACAAAGTGATCACTCCATTCAAGTATTGAAACATCATATTTACTCTTATTCCAGATCACCAATGTTCTACCCAAAGGGTGAGCATGAGGATTAATAAAAGATCCCCAACCTTGAAATAATTTATTTTCAATCTCCCAAAATTTATTTTCCTTTATTTTAGTTTCAAGAATTCCAAACCAACCAACTTCATATTTATTTACTACTCTCTTGACTTCCTCCTGTTTTAAGGAACTGTTCAACCCCCTAATGTTCCGATAATCAATCATGATAAAAAAAGATAGTGCCCACTATATGGGGCATTCTCACAGATCTTCATTAGTGCTGCAATACATGATTCCTCTTTTCTTTCAATAATCTTTTGCTTACCATCCTTTTTACCATTTTCCTTTTCTGTTTCTTTGGTGATTACTTTGTCCTCTTCAGGGTTTAGTTCTCGATTTTGATTTAGAGTAGTATTTGGCTTTCAGATCAGCTTCTTTCTAACAGTGGTATGTTTATCTCCTTTTCTTCTACAAGTTTCCTGCATGTGTCCCAATTTCCTTCAATGGGAGCATATGCAAGGATACCATTCATATGATATCTGTTGATTCATAACTCTTTCCTCATCATCTATGAAAGTAACCATCTGTGAGAATTCTTGTTGTACTTTGACCTCCACTTGTATTCTAACATAAGAATATTTGGTCTTCTTAGTAGTAGGTTTGTCTCGCTTAATTGGTCTCCCTACAAGGCTCCCAATCTTGTTGAGCCTAGTTAGGCTCTAGTATTTCATATCCAAGTTAAGGAGTTAAATCCATAAAGGAATGTAAACAAGATGCTCCAGCTCAATCTTCAGTCCATGATACCATTTCTGAACGAGGACTGACTTATTATCGAAATAGTAATATTTCCCTTTGATAATAGTATCCCTATCCACAACATTTTTAAACGTAAAAAAATTGACTCTCCTTTAGGAATGACACTTCTTCTACAGGGTAGGTATTCTAGATCCAATTAACATAACCCTTCACCATCTCTAAGGATGGATTTTCGCCTAAAATGTAGCATCCTAAGGTAGCATCCCAATATGAAACAGAATCTATAATATCCTCTTTTGTTAATTTTGCCACAAAATTCCCATTTACCTCTGTAGCCGGAATATACTTTAGATCCGTTTCTTCCTTAGCTTCTTAGGGTTTTCCTCTGTCTTCTCAGAACTACTCGATCTGAGGGTTTCCTTCGCGCACGATGACTTGGATTGAATCGATGCAGTCGATCTTGGTTTTGTATCTCATTCCCATTCTTAGACGTAGCTTTCTTCTTTGGTCTTCCCCTTCTTCTCACTATGGCTAGAGAGAGAAACGGAAGTTGTAAATGTTCATGTTCCAGTTTTTTAACCTTTACAAATTCTTATCCTACCTATCATATAATACTTTTTTACTAATAATCTACCCATCACAACTAACTTTTAGCTATCACATTAAAAATATTTTTGGAAAGTTAGCACAAAAATATCTCTATCTTAATTTCCATCAAAGTCAAAGTAGGAAGAATTTTAAGGGACGGAGGAAGTATTTTACAAGAACTAAAATTATATTCAACACAAACCAAAATAAAAAGAAGTAGTAATGCCTCCGTCCTAAAATTAACTTCCAGTTTCATTTTACTAGGTCTGACAAACTTTATTATCTTTTCAATTTATTTAATTATACGTGTAAAATTTAAAAATAATATATATATATATATATATATATATATATATATATGCATGCTTCCTTCGTCTCTAAAAATATGGGAGAATTTTGATTTTTAAGTGATTTAAGGATAATGTATTTTGGTGTTGAGTTTCCAAAAACACTTTGGATGTGATGGTAAAAGTAGGATTTGATAGGTAGATTAGTAGTGAATATATGTGATGTGATGGATATGTTAAGAATTAGTATGGGTAAAAGTGACCTTTTAATATAAATGAGAGAAGTATTTTTGGGACGGATGAAAAAAGAAATGAGAAATGCTTTTCATGACAGAGGGAGTACGCCTTAAAAATACATCAAAATTTTTTACAAAACTATAAGTGACATGACTATAAAATGACTTATAAAAATAAGTAAAGAAAGTAAATAAAATTTAACCATTAAATAATACTCTCTCTGTCTCGTAAAGATAGAGACGATTTGACTAAAGTGGTAAAAAATATCCTTGATGTGATGAGTAAAAGTATGATATGATGTATAGATTATTAGAAAAAGATATACGTGATAGGTCGGGTATGAAAAAGTAATGGGTAAAAGTAGTTTTTTATTCCAATAGAAATTGGAAGACTGTTAGGGACACAATTATTTTAAAACGTGAAGACTTTATGGGACCTAGGGAGTACATAATAAAATAATTTAAGAATATAGTGCTAAAGTTAAAACAAAAAACGTCATTGTATGCGTATTGAATGGACGGACACCTTTAAAAATTTTTCTCCATCTTAATTGTATATGCGTATTTAATTAGTCCATTCACAGTTTCTCACACACACACATATTCTTTCCGTCAGAAAATTTTTAAAAAATTTAAATTTTCATGGTCTCCAATATTATACTCCGGTACTATATATATTTTGAACTTTAAAACCTATATTTGTACATAGATATATACTCTGTATTTTATAAAAAAATTGATATTCTAAAACTACGTATTTAAAAGAATGTATTGATATTACCTTTATAATATACTCTCTCTGTCCTAGTGTATTTGTCCAGTTTGACTTTTTTGAGACAAACTGGACAAACTTTGAGCTTCTATAAAATAAAAACCATAATGTATTTTAGCATAAAAATGACTTTATTGGATTTATCGTATTGAAAACTTTCAAAATTGTATTTTGTTATGCTAATATGCAATATAAATTGAGAGTAATTGGAGTTCAAAGTTTGTCTACTTTGACTCGAAAAAATCAAACTGGACAAATACACTAGGACGAGGGTAGTAATATATTATATTTTTTCGCATATCGATGTCAAAGTTTACAAACTATGACCATCACAGTTTACAAATTTTAACCAATAAAAATCAAATGAGAAGAATATTTTTGGACGAAGAAAGTACATATTCTTAATTACTCCATATCAAATAATTAAATGACATGTACACCAAAATAATTGAAGTTACCTGGTATTGCTCCAAAATATAAAATCAGTTATTCGGTTTGGTATTTTTTTTTTGTATTTTTTCAGTTTGATATTTTTCGGTTCAATTTTTGACTAGTACGTAGTTAATATTTTTAAACTTTGACCATAACTTATAGAAAAAATATATTGAATTATGATATAAAAATAATATCAGTAGACTAATTTAAAAATATAGTTTTGAAATATCATAATTTTATAATTTATATATATATATAAATAGATATATTAAAAGGTAATTAAATATTGCATTGAGAGTGTAAAAAATCAAATGTGAGAAAAAATATGAGAGGGGGAGTATTAATTCTCTACCTTAGTCTAACCCTCCACTCTGCATCACATGCATGGTTCCTATGTCAATACAATTTCTTGATTTAAGGATGAAATTACTCCGCTAAATAATGTTTTTTTAATTTTATAAATGTAACTATTTTACTTGAAAATCGTAACTATTTCAATTATAAGAAGGATAAATATGGTTTTTTATTCAACAAGTGTAATTATTTTATTTGAAAAATTGTATAAAGTAAACTCCATACCTTTCTATTACTCCTTTCGTCCTATATTTTTCTTTCAGTTTGACTTTTATGGTTACAATTTAAAACTTTGACCATAATTTATGGAAAAGATTGATTGAATTTTGATATGAATTTCGTGTCAATAGATTCATTTTAAAGTGTACTTATGAAATGTCATATTTTTATATTTTATATTTATATATAAATAAGTATATTAATGATCAAAGTGTAATATTTGATATCGTAAAAAGTCAAATTGAAAAAATATACTATATATGTATGAGATAAAGAGAATATTGTTTAGCCGTTTTAGTTATGCTCGACTGTGAAATAAAACATCATCCTGAATTGGAGTAAAAGGTATGAAAATACCAAAATAGGATTCATAAATCTTTTAAGATCAAAACAAAACTATTATGACAGTGTGATGTAAGAGTATGTGTTGGAAGTGTGATGGAAAAATGATGACAATGTAAAATATTAATGTGATCAGTCAATCGTCGGCGATCTACAATGGCACTCTGATGACTAGCGGCGATAGATGGCTGTGTGGCGGTGATAATATGACAGTTACAATGTGATAATATAGTGAGTTTGACAGTGTAATAATAGAAGTGTGAGGTCCTATTTAATATTTTCATAATTTTTTATTCCTATTTAGGGACTTCTCAATTTAGAATATTAAAAAAAAAGCTAATGGGCCCGGACAACCGAGAGTGACAAGGGTGAAAAAATAATTCGGGCAGCCTATATATAGATCGAACCAGTGCCAAAGCCGAAACAACTCACTCAGCAAAAAAATATATTCAAAGTTTCATTTTCAGAACAGCAAAAGAAAGAAGAAGATTTTTTTTAAAAAAAAAAATTTAAAGAAATGGGTCCTTCTTCTTCGTCTTCTTCATTTCGCTCAAATGCAGCTGCGTTCTTCTTTGTGGTGCTTATCATAGCCACCGGTTTGCCTTCCGGTTTGCTTCATTTCTTCTAATCTTTGATTTCATCATGCATGCTTAATTAATTAATTCTTCTTGTTGGAGACTTGGAGTTGTATATTTTTGCATTTAATTTATTAAATATTGGATGCATATACTATATGAAAAAAAGGATGAGCCCAATCCCCGAGGTCCCCCTCAGACTCGGTCAAACGGTCACTGAGAGAAGGTAAATTGGACTTTAATCGCAGATTCGTGACAAAGAGTCGAGCCTGCATCTGATACTTGCAGAGGTCCTATGCTTAGCATAATTGCCTCCTAGCGCAGTGCTTAGAAATCAAACTCAGAATTTATCGCCTTGACACTCCTTGCCTTTACAAATTACGCAACGCCCACCGACGGATGTATATACTACTCCCTTCGTCCCTAAAACTGTGGGAGGTTTTGATTTTTAAAAGATTTAAAGAGAGTGTATTTTGGTGTTAAGTTTCCAAAAATTTCCTTAGATGTGATAGATAGATTAATAGTGAATAGATTTGATGTGATAGATATGTTAAGAATTACTCCGTAATAGAGGTAAAAATGACTTTTTAATAGAAATGATAAAATCTATATGTAGTTAAAATGTATGGTGTGAAATATATGGTGTAAAAGTTAATTCCTTCATCCCTAAAAACATTTTCACTTAGGGTGGAGGGTGGTATATATAATTTTTCATACTCTTTCTCTCTTATCCACATCAGTGTCAAATCAGATTTTACTAATTTCATACTCCAAATGATATGATGTATCCTTACCCAATTCACCGACGACTTACTATAACCATTTTTTAATAATTAACTTAAACTAAGAATAACAATTAATTTTAAAATAGTTTTTGAATATTTAATTTTTTTAAAATAATAAATTCTACTAATAAATAATTTTAAAATAAAAAGTGCAAATATTTAATTAGTACGACAACATTTCATTGATTTAAACAAAATTACAATACTAGATAAAAGAAAATAATAATCCAAAATAAAAAAATATAAAAACTACAAATAGTAATTTTGTGAGATTTGTGACCATTTTGTTTGTGAATCAAGTATTTCCCTCATTAAAAACTTACATTTCCCTATTTTAAGTATTCCGTAGTATTTTAACTCATATGACGTATGGGGTTAGTTAAACGAAATTAAATTTGTTCAACTATATGTTAGAATATAAGAAACATTTCTTGGACCACAACCATTAGCTTGAGCTTTTGGTTGAGCTAGATCCTTGACATGCTATCGGAGCAGGTTTTGGGCCATATCGTTTGTCATGGTATCGGAGAAGATTTTTTCTTCTATTTTTCTAAGGTTCTTTGTTTTTTTAAATTCTACTCCGTATTTCTTAGGGTTCATTTGATTAGGAGAAAAGAGATCATAAGAGTTGAATTCTCACCCCATGTCCCCCCTCCGCCTCTTCCATCATCCAAATGTGTGATAGTAGGCAATTAATGGTCATATATTTGGAGGCAGGGGGCTAAGGTGGGGGGTTTAGGAGGTAAGAACGATCAATTTGGAAAAGTGACATCGTTGCTGGGTGGCAACGAAAACAAGCCATTTTTGATATGATGAATAATTGATGATATGTATATATGTAATAATGCATGTATGCATGTATGCAGAGATGGGAGGTGGATTAATGAAGAAGGAGAAGAATTGTAATAAGAAGATGATGGTGGGCGCGCAGCAGCAGAAGTTATGTGGTTCTGGAACGCTTACGTGCATGAGCGACTCCTACTGCAGTACGCAGTGCTATAAGCAAGGTTGCCCCTGGCACGCATGCGACCCTAACACCCATGCTTGCAACTGCTACGATTAATTAATTAATTAATACTCGTAATCAATAGTACTCCGCCCTCTTTTAATTTCAATAAATCACTTTTAATTTCAACCATCTTTATAAGCTCTTCTTTTTCGATGCATGTATTCACCACCCGCCGCCCTCTTTAATAAGTAATACGGAGTACATTACTTTCTGCTTATTTAATTTACTTGTCACAATCCATCAAAAAAAAAAAAAATTACTTGTCACAAGCTATATATATATATATATATATATATATATATATATATATATATATATATATATATATATATATCAGATCCAAAGCCTAGATTTTGAGAATGCGATCTAATGAAAGAAATAAGAATGAATATGCTGCTTTAGATTGTGAGATCTAAGGGCCAGAATTGCATCAAAATTATGTGCACCAAAATGGTTTGAAAATGCGTCATGTCGAAATGCACCAGAATCCATTGAAAATGCACCGTATCAAATTCTGAGTGCAGGATGCAATCTGAGCCGCACGATGCATTAGATCCAAAGGCTAGATTTTATTCTTATTTCTTTCATCAAGGTGCATTCTCACTTGAACCGGCATATATATATATATATATATATATATATATATATATACATACATACATACATACATACATACATACATACATATGTACACACACACACACATATATATACACACACACACACACACACATATATATATATATGGACTCTTAATTAATTACTCTGTATTATTCCCTTTTTTCCTAAATGTTTACCATATTTCAAAAAACGAGGTAAAATATGAAGTTTTTTCAATCCATTTTATTTAAATATTGGTATAAAATTTATCTAAATAGTATTAAAACATAGTAGATTTTCCAATGTAGTACCATATGTTTTTATTTCTCAATGTAGTACCACAGGTCATTGTCTACTAGACATAGTTCAAACTAAATGTCTATCATCACTGGTTATTGTTCCTGCAACTACTAGACATTATTCAAGTACTATTTAAAGAATTAAAAAAGTTTAAGTACTACATTGGGAAATGACACATGTTTTAGTACTATTTAATGCAGATTTTACAATTTAAAAACTACGTGAAAAACTCCTTAAAATAAACAAAACTTATCGAGAACATAGAGATAAAAAATTATAGTCCGTAACCAATTTCAATTTAAGCCGGAGGGAGTATTTAGATTCGCAGTTGTACACATACCATATATAAAATGACTTGACCTGTTTTTTTAACTCGAGACACGACCTTAAAATATTGGATTTTGAACAAAGTTTTTGTTGACCGAACCCAAAAAGACTATCTAAAAATGAGTCAAACCTGATCAAACCTGAACGTGACCTGACTGACCCGCTAATGTAAGACTCCGTTTGGTACATTGAAATGGAATTGGAATTTTATGTAATAGAATTGAAATAATGCAATTCTAAATTTTTTGTTTAGTATATATAACTATGGAACTAATATATAGAGAATTGTAATTTTATTCCAAATTCTTGGTTTGGTAACACAATTGTATAAATAATTTATATAGAATGTATATAAAATTGTACTTAGTAGTGCCTCGTAATAGAGTATTTCAAAACCCATTTAAAACAGTAGCCAACAACTACAACCAATCTAAATAAAAATTTATAAATTTCAAAAGAAATCACACCTAACCACAACACAAGAAGGTAGTGAGAAATCCATATACTTAAATTTTAAATTTTAAATTTAAATTTTAAATTTAATACTAAAAATAAGTAGACAAAATGATGTAAGTTTGATCCTATGAATAATATCTGGAAAAATCTATCTAGAGGGACACGTGAAGTATGTTTTTAAGGAGAACTAGATCTCTAACCCGTGTGTTGTATGGTTAGTATCTTGAGACAATGATAGAAAATAATATAATAAGGGTTTAGTATTTTCATTTAATGCTTCGTATTTCAATGTTCTTTAAATAATGCGATTAGGATGTACACTTTCTTTTGACGCCAGCTTCATTTAATGATTCTTATTTCACTGTTCCTTGGCGTGTCCAACAATTTAAAAATTATTTCCACCATTAATGGGTTTAGGCGTGTGGTTCAAAGTAAATAATCAATGGCTTCTCCTTTTTCTTAAGACGATATTTCGTGGCTCAATATATATTACGAGTATTACTCTACACAAATATCTACGGAGGGGTATTTTGGGTTGCACAATCTCACATGGCTCGATGTAAAAATTAATAATAAAGTTCAATGTTTCGGGTATTGGGACTTAGTTGTCCATTTAGGCCTTGTTTGGAACCTGGCAGTTGGCAGTTGGCTGTTGGCTGTTTATGTTGGCTGGTTTGAATGGCTGATTGATTTAGCTGTTTTGACCGGCTGTTTCTGTTAGCTGTTAAAAATTATATGTTTGGCAATTTTAGCTGTTTATAGTTAGCTGTTTGTGAGTAAAATTACATATAAAGATATCCCTCCATTTATGTTAATTTGTGTATGATTTTAAATTTTTTTAATTTGATAAAATACACACATTATACAAGAAAATGCTTTATATATTTTTTTTTGTTGGACAAAAAGGCTACTTTGTTTTTTTTTTAATTTAAGAAATGAGAATTTATATTTATATTTTATAAGTAGATTTTTTTGTATCTTTCTCATTTATTATTCTACAAATAGCAACCATGCATGATATATTTTATTTTATAATTTTTTAAATATGATATCATAAATATATAAAAATACTCTACACCAATTTTAAATATGATATCATATATTTTTAATATACTCTACACCAATTTTAATTTTTTAAAGATGATATCATATATATTTTTTTGTTGGACAAAAAAGGCTACTTCGTTTTTTTTAATTTAAGAAATGAGAATTTAGATTTATATTTTATAAGTAGATTTTTTTATATTTTTCTCATTTATCATTCTACAAATAACAACCATGCATGATATATTTTATTTTATAATTTTTTAAATATGATATCATAAATATATAAAAATACTCTACACCAATTTTAAATATGATATCATATATTTTTAATATACTCTACACCAATTTTAATTTTTTAAATATGATATCATATTTTTTTTCTTGGACAAAAAAGGCTACTTCGTTTTTTTAAATTTAAGAAATAAAAATTTACATTTATATTTTATAAGTAGATTTTTTTTATTTTTCTCATTTATCATTCTACAAATAACAACCATGCATGATATATTTTATTTTATAATTTTTTAAATATGATATCATAAATATATAAAAAAATACTCTACACCAATTTTAAATATGATATCATATAACCAATTTTAATTTTTTAAATATGATATCATATTTTTTTTGGACAAAAAAGACTACTTCGTTTTTTTTTAATTTAAGAAATGAAAATTTACATTTATATTTTATGAGTAGATTTTTTTTTTGTATTTTTCTCATTTATCACTCTACAAATAACAACCATGCATGATATATTTTATTTTATAATTTTTTAAATATGATATCATAAATATATAAAAATACTCTACACCAATTCCGGTGCCGTGAGGATCGCAGAGAGATGCAACACCGAGAAAATGGTAGGAAACGGAAAAGGGGGTGAACTGCTAAATGAAATGCTGCTAGGGTTGGCATTTCAATTTTTGGCTTTTCGGTTCTAAATGCCAATTCCAAAAGCCATTATCCAAACAATTAATTTGGCGGTTTGACTAGTCCAATCTGCCGTTTATGGTCAAAGATGCCAAATGCTAGGTGAACCGCCATTTACCAAACATGGCCTTAATGCTTCGTATTTCAATACTCCTTGGTATGTCCAACAACTTTAAAACTGTTTTCATCAACGGATTTTAGCGTGCTCAAAGTAATTAATCGATTGGTTTTATTTTTTCATAGAACGATAGTTCGTGGCTCAGTGTATTATTATTACTCTATACAAACATCAACGCATGGGTCTTTTAGGTTACACAATCTCACACGGTTCAATGGATCAATGCACCGAATGTTACCATTGTTGGATTAAATTTAATTTACTCTTTAAAAATAATCGAATTATGTTTTTTTCCAAAAGAATATTACTCGTACATAATCTTTTTTGAAATTACCCTCCTCTTTAATAAACTAATTTGTATAAAGAAAGATCATACCCCATCTTTTAATTGGGTCATGTTTATTGCAATACTAGGTTACGTTGATGGATGTCCATTGATTGTTTCATGATTCAATGTTTATTTTCTTGTAAGTCCACTTCATAATTATTTAGACCATTAATAGGTTTTAGGCACGTGACTCAAGGCATAACAATATCTAGATTCTTTTGTCTCGTAAAACAGAAGGCTGTGACTTAATGCAGAAGTCGTGCTTGAACTATCCATCTCAAAAATAATGTATTTAATTATTTAAAAAAATTGAATGCTCTTGTATAAAAAAATCATTCCCTAGTAGAAGGTAATTATGATTTCATATGAGGATGGGTAATAAACACTCTTATTTGAAGTGAAAGAGAGATGTCAAAATACATATCTCAAGAGGCACGGAGCTATGAAAATTTATATCCCAATAGGCAACGATAATGTTATCACGCGAATCCAAAAAGCACTCTTCTTTAAAGTGAAAGAGAGTTATCAAAATACATATCCCAAGAGCATGAAGCTATCAAAACTCATATCCTAATCGGAAATATTAATGTTTTCACGCGAATCTAAAAACTAACAAATCTAACACAATTATTCAACACTCATTGGCCCAACCGTATCAGGATTTCCTCTTGCCCAACCCCTTACCAAAATTGGATACCCAATCCGTATCCTACTCGTTTAAGCTGGAATTTCCATTGTTCATTTCTTCACTTTGCCTTTGTGTTAGAGTAGCTTAGTCAGTTACATTTTCTGTTAGTTTGTTAAATCATTCTGTTAGTTTGTTGCTATTTTTCTGCTTTATACTCTCATTATAAATACTGAGCAAGTTTGTACATTTGACACAAGTTTTAGCAATTCAATGAAGAAAGTCTTTTTGTTTCCTGATTCTTTCTTCTTCGTTAGTCCTGCTAAAACCAACATGGTATCAGAGCTATGCATTTTCTG